TTCCGTATCGGTAATACGGTACGATAGAATTTTGAATTTTATCGGTATTTATCGGTATCGGTATTATACGGTAGTACGGTACGGAATACGGTACGGTACGAAATTCCGGGCTCTAGTTTTATTATATTACTTGAAATATGTAATTATATAATTAAGTAATAATTAATATATAGTTTATTTATTTTGTTTAGCAACCCGATCCACTTTCCGTATAGCGCTGATCCTTCTTTTTGAAGCGACGTCGCACTATCAATATTTGGCATATTGCCCAATTTACTCAACAATTTGCAATTTACTCAACAATTCTGCAATATTTTCAATGAACAAATAACAATGCCACTAACCTGATTTGTTCTTCAATACAATTTTTGTTTAACCAATTTACGACCGCGCCAATTTGTTGTGTCTCTGCACAACAAGAAATAAGCAATACAATAATGAGTTTATCACACAAGAAATACAATAATATTGAAGTAATAGAATATGTTTAGGTAATAACTAGGAGACAATTAGAAGACACGGACTGACAATTGTGTGAGGCTTTTATAGTAGCCACCACACCACAACACCAACGGCAATAACATCACAAATTGGGACTGCTTCACCTACAAACCAGCACAGAAGACCAGCCGAATCAGCATAACATTGGCAAGACCACCAATAAAGGAACCACGTCTCCCTGTACTACGACAATTTGTGACATCCGTGGAACTTCACAACAATCCCGTCAGCGTCGAGGATTTATCCGTTGTAAAATGGGATACATCCACTTGAGTTATTCACTTTACAAAATTTGGTTGTTTTTACAAAAACAAGAGCAACATATATTAAAACTTACATGAACTAACTACTATAAGAAAAATATTTGACATGACTACTACTTTATGTGGTGGCTACTATAAAAGCCTCACACAATTGTCAGTCCGGGTCTCCTAATTGTCTCCTAAATATTACCCCAACATTATTCTGCTCTTCAACATTATTGTATTTCTTTGTGTGATAAACACATTATTGTATTGCTTATTTTTTGTTGTGCAGAGACACAACAATATAATCAAGGGGTTGACATGTTTAAATCCTAAAAAATGCTTTGTCTTTTCAAATAGATCTTTACTAGGCCATATCTACTAAGAGTAAGAAGTCACACGACTAAAAGTCAGAGGAATTTCTTCCACAGAATAGTAAAAGATTGGAATTGTCTTTCTTTAGAATCTATGAAAATTAATAAGTCCAAGGAATTCAGGGAATTATTGAAAACATTGTACTGAGTTTTGAATGGTATTTACTAACTTAACATATATATTTTTTGTGTTAAGTTAAAAAGATCGAAGTCTAATTAAGTTAAAAAGATCGAAGTCTAAATCAAGTACCTGGCATTCAAGAATATGTAAGTCCAAAAGTTGAAAACCAATAAAGGAACCACCAATAAAGGAACCACGTCTCCCTGTACTACGACAATTTGTGAAATCCGTGGAACTTCACAACAATCCTGTCAGCGTCGAGGATTTATCCCTTGGAAAATGGGAGCCCTTGGAAAATGGGAGCAAAGAAACACCACAACACCAACGGCAATACCATCACAAATTGGGACTGCTTCACCTACAAACCAGCACAGAAGACCAGCCGAATCAGCATAACATTGGCAACTTAAAGGACCACCAATAAAGGAACCACGTCTCCCTGTACTACGACAATTTGTGACATCCGTGGAACTTCACAACAATCCCGTCAGCGTCGAGGATTTATCCGTTGTAAAATGGGATACATCCACACAGCAAATGAAATGTCAAATTTAAAAAAAGTCAACATAAACTACTAAGGACCCAGTGAAGATCTGCTAATAAATAGGATTTAAAATTCTTATAAATTTCACGTTTCATAAGAAAACAAAAAGTACTATATGAAATATCTAAAATTTAGTTATTTAGAACGACTTTTACAGATTTCGTCGTCAAGAATTTATATATTAGTTTGTCTATGAATTCTAATTTTATTATATTACTTGAAATTTAGAATATAAAATTATATAATTAAGTTAATAATTAATATTACTACATTTTGTTAAGATTCCGAATTTAATATTATAACTAAAGTTATATGAGATAAATAAAAAATTACATATTTAGATCTTTTTATGATTGAATATACTTTCTTGGATATAGGTACTATTGATTCATATATTTTTGTTTATTAGTTTTTGAATTATCCAATATGAAATAATATAAATAGAAGTTAAGATTTTTCTAATTTTAATGTTTTATAAGAAAACTAAAATTACTATATGAAATATCTAAAATTTAGTTATTTAGAACGACTTTTAAAGATTTCGTCGTCAAGAATTTATATATTAGTTTGTCTATAAATTTTAGTTTTATTATATTACTTGAAATATGTAATTATATAATTAAGTAATAATTAATATATAGTTTATTTATTTTGTTTAGCAACCCGATCCACTTTCCGTATAGCGCTGATCCTTCTTTTTGAAGCGACGTCGCACTATCAATATTTGGCATATTGCCCAATTTACTCAACAATTTGCAATTTACTCAACAATTCTGCAATATTTTCAATGAACAAATAACAATGCCACTAACCTGATTTGTTCTTCAATACAATTTTTGTTTAACCAATTTACGACCGCGCCAATTTGTTGTGTCTCTGCACAACAAGAAATAAGCAATACAATAATGAGTTTATCACACAAGAAATACAATAATATTGAAGTAATAGAATATGTTTAGGTAATAACTAGGAGACAATTAGGAGACACGGACTGACAATTGTGTGAGGCTTTTATAGTAGCCACCACACCACAACACCAACGGCAATAACATCACAAATTGGGACTGCTTCACCTACAAACCAGCACAGAAGACCAGCCGAATCAGCATAACATTGGCAAGACCACCAATAAAGGAACCACGTCTCCCTGTACTACGACAATTTGTGACATCCGTGGAACTTCACAACAATCCCGTCAGCGTCGAGGATTTATCCGTTGTAAAATGGGATACATCCACTTGAGTTATTCACTTTACAAAATTTGGTTGTTTTTACAAAAACAAGAGCAACATATATTAAAACTTACATGAACTAACTACTATAAGAAAAATATTTGACATGACTACTACTTTATGTGGTGGCTACTATAAAAGCCTCACACAATTGTCAGTCCGGGTCTCCTAATTGTCTCCTAAATATTACCCCAACATTATTCTGCTCTTCAACATTATTGTATTTCTTTGTGTGATAAACACATTATTGTATTGCTTATTTTTTGTTGTGCAGAGACACAACAATGTTGTAACCAACCAAGCTTTGGATGAATAATTTAAAGAATAAATTAAAATTATTTAAAATATTTATTTCAATTTAAATTAAAATTAACAGTTGCTGTAAAAGGTAGAAGAAGGCTTTTTGAAGGAGGTGTTTTTGAAGAATGAACTGGAGAAGACAATAATTTGGGGGTTTGGGGAGGGGCTTTTAAAGCAGTCCATTGGCCCTGGTTTTTGGCCAATGGCAAAAAATTTAATAGAAAGTTAAGGTGAAAAATGATGAAATAGGTAGCTGTGCAAACAATGATAAGAAAAGTTTGGCTGGATAGAAAATTCCAGCAAAACTTTCAAAGAAGAAAAATTTAATTTTAAAATTAGAGAAAAGGGAGAGAGGGGTGAAAAGATAATAAAACAAACAAACGAGATGGGTAAAATTGCCCACACAAACTTCAGTCGCGGGAATGCACGTGAATGAAGTTTGTGTGGCGCATTCCTTTTTTAGTTTTTTATTTAATCCTTTGCCTCTCTTCTTTGCAAAATTTTATTTAATTTTATTTTTTATATTAATTAATTCCTTCTTTTATTATTTTGCAGAATCAGCCCATCTTCAGTCGGGCTGCAACAGACTCCGGCGCCAGATCAAGTGTCTGCTTGTAGACGTCGAAGAGGATTGCCAAACGGTGAGTCAGCTGAAGCCAAAGAGACGGAGTCGTTTGCCTTCGAAAATTGAACACGTGCGTCCTTGGCTTGATGACGTCTTTTGAAGCTTGTGAACCTCATTGGCGGAGTTGGTGCTGTTGCGATTGAGTCACTTCGTGGGCGTATTTCCATGAATTCAGTTCCTGCATCTTGAGTTGCATTTGTTCGTGAATGTTGTCGGCCTTTCAATATTCCAATTGTTTTAAACGTTGGCGTTAAAAAATATGTCCAGAGAATTGGTACCAAAACATCTCTAATAAACAGAAATGTAGAGAACGCACAGCTGAATATCATCCAATAATGAACAAGCATTTCCCATAAACCACGAAACCATTCTTTAGCGAGTCCAGGTAGTCCGCCAGGAATTGCGCCAAGTGTAAGTGCTCGATGATGCTCATCAGTTTTCTGTGTAGTTTTCCATTCTTCTGACTGAGTCAATTCATCGATGTGAAGGAATGGTATTTTGTCGTCGTCCGGATGAATTAGCCATTCATGAAAAATTACTGGATGTATTTCAGTTTCATTAAATTGTGTTAAGTTGTTGTGGAACGTGTGAATTGCACTGTTGTTCAGTAAGTCCATTATTGCTGTCTTTGTGTCAATTTTGTACCAAGTGTTCTTTGAATATTCCAGGTACATGTAGCGAAATCTGCCACAGTCGGCTGGTGGTGCAGTGCTGCTAAGTATTCGAAGTACCGGATCCAAGAAAGAATTCAGAGTTCGGTTGTAAAACAGGACGTCCACTGGAATATATTTGTAACAATTTGTTGTGCGTCTTGTTCGGATCATATTCATGCCAATTTCCGCACACGTGTACAGTTGCATTGTCCGGGGTCCAATCCATTTAGCAGCAATGTTTTCCTTTTGTAAAAGTTGTCTGGCCAGCAGAGTAGGGTTTGTGCCTTGTTTGTATTTTTTGCATTTTTCAATAAATATTCTTTCGATGAGTTGATTCATTGTGAGCTCTGATGCTGTGAGTTCACTTGCCAATTGATCCTCTTCAACAGTTCTTTTTCCTCTTGCCAAAAACATTCTTTTATATTCCTTTGTGAGTATGCCAAATCCTTGTTCGGAAAGAGTGATTGCTTCACCATGGCATGAAAATTCGTTCGGGGCATTTTCTTTTTCAAATGTTAGAGCTTGTTCCTTCGATTTGCTGAGCCAGATTATTCTTGTTGGTTCAATTTTGTAGAGTCCATCCATTTGTTCAGTGTATTGGTGCTTGCATTTACGACATTGGTGAGCTGGACAATCCGTTTCCCAAATTATTGTTGTGTTGTCGTACATTGTGCAACTTCCTTCTGTGAATTTGCAGTGGCCCATATTGTGTGTTGGCGAGAAAATTTCCAAAGTTTGAGGTTTAAAAAACAAGCTGATTTTTTGAACCAAACAGTTGATTGCTGTGGCCTTTTGTTCACCAGAAAATAAGCTTTGGAATCTGCCGGGAAATTCCATATTGATTACTTGTTGAGTGGACCATGAATTGTTGTCAATTTTTTGCATTGTCTCTTTTGTAGATGGACATAAATGTTGCTGGGCCATGATTGAGCAGTCTTCCTTTGAAATTGAAAGCATTATTCGTTCCATCTGCAGAAATCTGTCACCCAGAAGATTAGTGTAATAGACCTCATCAACATTCTTTACAGAACAGTGGTGGGCTATTAATTCCTTGGTGTGTTGAGCATGAGAGAATAGACTGATCCTCATGTCTTTCCATTTTTTGTTTCTAGTCAAAGGATGACAGTAAGGAGATTTGCTTTGGTCAGGTATAGTCCAAAGAGAGCTTGGAGCATGAGCGCACCAAAAAGCTGGTAAATCGTTGTTTGGAACACTTTCCCGTTTTTGAACAATTGTAGGAGCCGGAATATTTGCCGGGATCGTGTTTGGTTTATTGTGTTGTACATAGGTGTCGAATGCCCTTTGTTTTTCAATTTTAATTTGACTTACTTCGGGTAATTTTTCGATTGGAGAAGTTGGTTTTAAAAGTGTTGACTGCTTCTCAATTAACCATTTTAATTTGACAGGCTTTGGTGGTATCGGAGTCGTTGTCGTTGAAGCCATTTTATTAATTTCTTTAAATTTTTCCTTTAGGCGAGGTGATGCCGTTACATGAATTCTTTTTGGCGTTCTGTTGTCATTAAATTCCATTAGTTGCGTTGGAGTAGAAAATTCACTTCTTTTTTGGATTGGGATTAACAGAGGACTGCCAATTGGTTGTGTAAAAGTTGACACGATCGAGCATAATAGTATCAATGCCATGTAATATGTTCCATATGCTCGGGTTGGCAGTGTCATGAAGTTTTTTCGCAGTTTTTCCATGGATTGTTGAGGTTTTCGTGGAGGTGGAGATTTTCCTTTCCGATGAAGCACACAAGGTATATTTTTCAGAGGATTAGAATTTTGTTTGTGAATAATTATTACTTCTTTATTTTGCTGTGTAGTTTTAGTTTCCTCTGATTTTTCTTTGATCTTCTTTAATTCTTTTGCACTGCCGTTCCATTTGTAAAATCCAGTGCCATAAGTTTCGGCCAAATTGTGGAATTGTGTTGCCATTTTTATTTGTTTATTTTTGTTGCTTGATTCGGCCAGACTTAGAGTAGTCCGAATGTTCAATTCCATATCTGCGAAGAATTCCAAGGTTCTGTCAATCGCTCGTGCCGTTGTTTCATCTGATTTGGTGATTATTATTAATTCTTTAACTTTTTCTCCAACGAAGCACATATATTGCAAAGGTTTTGATCCAAAAGGTGCGTGGTGTATTAGTTTCCTGTCTGTAGACCATGTGTTGATTGAGTCCAATGAAGTATCGGCGGCAACAATTACTTCTCTGTCCACCAAATAGAGGGGAGGTAATTCAATTTCTCGGAATCTTTTTTGCAACGACAATTGAAATTCCTTGCGCCGAAGTCGGGTCAAAATTTTTCCAGTTTTGTCGTTAATGATGCTGAGCCATCTTTCCAAAAAGGGTATGCCATAGTCCATTTCAGGTGTTTCCAATTTGATTGGGCCATATTGCGCACTGTTGTAAATTTTCTTTAGAACCTTGCACTTCTTCAATTGTATTTTTATTGAATCTTCCAAATATTTGTCCAAAAATGCTGTTGTATGTTCCCATTGTATTAATAGCCAAAATTGTAGTAGGAAGTTGTTGACGTCGTCCTTGATTTCCCATAGTTTTTCAGAACATTCTTGCCAATAAGTCGGATCTCTGTGTTGTCATGTAAGCCATTCATACGCAAAGATATGAAGGAGACAGTACAGCGGTGGGATTATCAGACGATTGAACATTGGTCGTTGCTCGGCATTTTCTCCAAGACGCTCATCAGGTTTGCAATCTTTGTGAAGTTCTCCTTTACATTCGTGGAGCACATTGTAATAGAAAACATTTTGTTCTTTTGGTGCCGGCGTTTGAATGTCTGAAATTTTTTGAAGAAATTCATTTAATTGAATCCCTCGCTCCTCCCGAGCGGCATTTTGTGCTGCTCTTTTAATTTCCAAATTTTCACAAGTTTTTATTGTTTTGTCCCAAGGCTCTGTTGTAATTGAAACATTTGCTTCCAAAGTATTGTACCATTTGTCGCCTCGCTCACATCTTTTCTTAAATTCAATTTTATATTTTTCCAAAGCTTCATTTTTCATTTTTTCTTCTTTTTCTTTTCTTTCTTCTTCCGATAATTTTGGAGCCAGAGCAATTTTTTGGCGAATAACTTCTTGGTCCTCTAACGAGTATTTATTTCCTCCCAGGCTTTTGTAGAGCATATTCATGCCGGCAATGGACATTCGTTTTGGTTTGAGTATTTTTCTTTTTGGTATTGTAAAGCCAGGAGCCAATTTCGGGAATTGTAAAACCTTGTGTTGATCTTCGTCATGCTTTCGTTTGCGTTGTTTCATTTCCATATTTGAATTAATGTTGCCAATAGGTTTGCTAGTTTCAATTGTTGCCATAACGTGAACAGTTTCGACTTCGGGTTGAACTTCTAAACGAAAAAGTTGATTAATACTTCTTTTTAAAATTTTTCCATTTATTAAAATTTTAGCTGTCCTAATAATATTGTTCCTGCCGTGAATCAGTTCCACGATCTCAGCTGCTTTTCCCAATGATCGTGGAATCAGATTCTCATCTTCGAGTAAAAATGTTTTCGCAAGTATCACGCGGTCCATTAAATGGTAGCGCAGTAAAATTCCAAAAAGTTTTTTGAGCAAGAGTGAGCCGATGTGTAGATAATTCTTCAATGAAGGAATACTTCGTTGATTTGGAGAATTCGCATAAGCATCCATAATAATTCGCAATTTTGCTGTATTTTCTTCTTTTATTGATTTATTCTGGTCCAATGTATTGCTGATTAATATATTCTCTTCATTTGAAATTTTCTTCTGTTCGGTTGGATGAGTGCATGTGCCAGCTGCAGGCCATTCAGTTTTGGTAGGCCAATCATTATTTTCTTTAACATTAGTGAAGCAAGCAATGCAAGGCCTTTCTTCTGTGATTACCACGTTCACTTGAACAGAAGCTGCGTAGATTGTATGTGTTGCAAATCCTTCGTCCATTTGGCCGGCTCCACTCAGAATTTTTCCTAGCTTTGAGTCGCTAATTGTGAAGCCACTTGGTAGTTTTTTAAGTTGTTGAATGTTGAGTTCGTGCCACAAGTCCACTCCCAGCAAAATATCCGGTTGCTTGCAGGAACTTGGTGTAATTCTTTCACGTTGTAGGTCAATTGGATCAATTTCGCGCACGTTGAAGCAGGGCAAGGGATTGACCAAAAATCCCAATTTATTCAAAACAACGCTCAATTTCTGGCCATCGGCACAATATATGTTGAGTCGCACCAAGTCGCTGTCATAGGTTTTCGAACATCTGTCTCCAAAACTGGTTAAATGGCATTTTTCTTTGGAGACGATCGGTAGTTGCAGTTTGTTGGCCAATTTTGCCGATATAAAGGAGCGTTGACTTCCAGCATCCAAGAAAATAAGAGCCTCTTCTTTTTGTTGTGGACGTTTAGGATTGCACACAATTGCTGGCAAGGTCATCAGCACAGATTTCGAGCCTTCTTCTTTCACAGCGTTTGCTTGCTCAGTTTGCCGATTGTTGATTAAATTTTGAACGCCAGGCTTGGAAGGTTGAACATTTTCCTGCCTTTGGGCATATCGATTCTGCATCTTTGCAAAGCATAGAGCAGATGGGTGCATCCTTTTGCAGTGGAAGCACATTGAAGGTTTTGGACAGTTGAAGCTTGTGTGTACCTTTCGCAGACATCTGGTACACAATTTCTTTTCCTTGGCTCTCGTCAGTCTCTCTTGTGGTGTGCTGTATTTGACACATCTGTCATTGAAGTGTTGCTCGTCACAGAATGTACATTTCCAAGTCATTTGAGGTTGTCTGTCCATATTTTGATTTGTTGCCGAAATTCTCTGCCTTCTTGATGAGCTTCTTTTGATTGGATTCGGCTTTATTTGTTGTCCCTGTGCTAAAGTTGCGTAAGTAAAATCTTGCCTCTGGTTTTGATTTGGTGCCGATCTTCTTTGAAATTGATTTCCTCTTTGAGTTGGTTGAAAGCTCATTCGATTGGGTCTTCTTGGCACTTCTCGCTCATATTCATTCATGACCTCTTGGATTGCCATTTCTTTTTGAATTGCTTCTCGTAAAGCTTCTCTGAATTGAGTGGTTGACCAGTTGTTGCCTTCGGACCTTTTTGACAATATAGTCCGTAAGAAGGGCTTGTTGAGCTTCTTTTCCAAGGCGAGATAAACTGACGGACCTTCGATGTCCTCGCCGGAATTTTGTAATTCACGAGCCAGTCGTTCCAGTTCGATGCTGAATCTCCGAACATCTCCCAGTGTTACACATGCCTTGAGATTTGTTAGCCTTGTGTGAAGGCTTCTAATGTAGGCGTCTTTGTCTCCATAGTTGTCTTTAAGCATTTGTAGAGCTTCTTTGTAACTCTTTGCCTCGAGCCTGAATCCAGCAATTAATTCCTTTGCTTCTCCATCAACTAAGTTGCGCAGCAAGGTAAGTTTTTCCACGTCTGAGCCATTTCCAGAGTCCACTGCGCATTTGAATGATTCATAGAATTCTACCCAGTCCTTTCGAGCTCCATTGAAGGGTTTGATTTGTAGTGTCGGCAATTGATAGACCGATGAAATTGTAGTTGCTGCTGTTTGAGGCGTTCCACTTGATTGAGCTGGAGTCGACTGCATCTTCTGGGAATGTTTAATTTCTTCTTCCTTTAATTCTTTGTCGCTTTTTGCCATAGCGACCTTTGCTTTGATTGAGACATCATCTTTGAAGTCTTTTAGTTGTCGGAGCATAGTATCAATTGCCTCCATTGACGCTTCCAATTTGTGTGTCTTCTGGAAGGCCTCATATTCGTCATTTGCCGCTGAGCGTTCATCAGATGGTATTTTGCGCAGAAGGTCAGTCCATGATGAAAGGGATAATCTGATGTCTTCAATATTCGCTTCGGCTTTATTTATTTCTTCTTCTAATCGCTTGAATTGCGCCTCTAGTTTTATTGCCTTTATTTGGTTGGAGTCTCCTTCTTTGATATTGTCAACCCATTCTTCTTTTGATTTAGTTTTTGCTAATGCTCTGATTGCATTAACAATTGTTGTTTTGATTGGCGATGCCATTATTTTTTAAATTGCCTTTAGGACTTCGCAAATAAATTAAAGGAACCTTGGATACTGCCGAAGATGAGAACCTTATTTGATTCCCTCGAGGTGATATTGACTCAATTAGTTGTTCAGAGACAAGTAATTGAACAATATAAATTTTGAACTAAGTCGGAGTATAGAAACCCGATTAGTTCTCGAATAAAATTTAAATTTTATTAATAAATCTTCCCCACACCTTTTTGATCCGAGTTGATCCGATTTGGTGTAGATTTGAACGTCTGCTGCACAAGTTTGCTTCGCACTTTTTGTTGTCGTTCACGGACGATGAACACTTTAGTTGATTCGGCAGGTGAGTTGAACACTGATGAGTCCAACAAATTAAATTTTGTTTGTAGTTGTTGTTGAGTCCTGGTTTCTTTTGTTCTGAGCCCCCACTTAATGTTGTAACCAACCAAGCTTTGGATGAATAATTTAAAGAATAAATTAAAATTATTTAAAATATTTATTTCAATTTAAATTAAAATTAACAGTTGCTGTAAAAGGTAGAAGAAGGCTTTTTGAAGGAGGTGTTTTTGAAGAATGAACTGGAGAAGACAATAATTTGGGGGTTTGGGGAGGGGCTTTTAAAGCAGTCCATTGGCCCTGGTTTTTGGCCAATGGCAAAAAATTTAATAGAAAGTTAAGGTGAAAAATGATGAAATAGGTAGCTGTGCAAACAATGATAAGAAAAGTTTGGCTGGATAGAAAATTCCAGCAAAACTTTCAAAGAAGAAAAATTTAATTTTAAAATTAGAGAAAAGGGAGAGAGGGGTGAAAAGATAATAAAACAAACAAACGAGATGGGTAAAATTGCCCACACAAACTTCAGTCGCGGGAATGCACGTGAATGAAGTTTGTGTGGCGCATTCCTTTTTTAGTTTTTTATTTAATCCTTTGCCTCTCTTCTTTGCAAAATTTTATTTAATTTTATTTTTTATATTAATTAATTCCTTCTTTTATTATTTTGCAGAATCAGCCCATCTTCAGTCGGGCTGCAACAACAATATAATCAAGGGGTTGACATGTTTAAATCCTAAAAAATGCTTTGTCTTTTCAAATAGATCTTTACTAGGCCATATCTACTAAGAGTAAGAAGTCACACGACTAAAAGTCAGGAATTTCTTCCACAGAATAGTAAAAGATTGGAATTGTCTTTCTTTAGAATCTATGAAAATTAATAAGTCCAAGGAATTCAGGGAATTATTGAAAACATTGTACTGAGTTTTGAATGGTATTTACTAACTTAACATATATATTTTTTGTGTTAAGTTAAAAAGATCGAAGTCTAATTAAGTTAAAAAGATCGAAGTCTAAATCAAGTACCTGGCATTCAAGAATATGTAAGTCCAAAAGTTGAAAACCAATAAAGGAACCACGTCTCCCTGTACTACGACAATTTGTGAAATCCGTGGAACTTCACAACAATCCTGTCAGCGTCGAGGATTTATCCCTTGGAAAATGGGATACATCCGCTTGAGTTATTTCACTTTACAAAATTTGGTTGTTTTTACAAAAACAAAAAGCGTCGAGGATTTATCCCTTGGAAAATGGGATACAACCACTTGAGTTACTTCACTTTACAAAATTTGGTTGTTTTTACAAAAACAAGAGGATTAATTATACGTGACCACACCAACGGCAAAAACATCACGGATTGGGACTGCATAACCTACAAAGCAGCACAGAAAGGATCAGCCGTCTGCGCCAAAAGGATCAGCCGTCGACAAGACCCACATTCCCAGCAGAACAAACGACTACTAGTTGAGCAAGTACAGCGACCACAAGCCGTCTAACTGTACACTATTAATTTTAATTGGCAAACCCGGCTAACCAACCATCAATGGCACGAATTTTACGTCAAGAACTTTACGAACGACAAGAGCTTGACTGAATGATTCTGAACAAGTTATGACCAACGGAATCTTCGCTGGAAAATCTGTGGGTTTCCCCGAATCAGGTACATGATAAAAAATCATAGATGAGATGACATATTTATCAGATAGATTGTCATAATCATTCAGATTGATTTTACTGCACTTATACTTATTAAAAAGCTTGTCCCTAATCGGCCTTGCGCCTAGTCGGTCGCGCCTAGTTGGCCCGCGCATAGTTGGGCGTGTCCCATAAAATATTTATGGGTACGGCCCAAGTAGGTGCGCGGCTAAGTAGGCGCAAAGCCATAACTTGCTAGAAAATTTCCGAATCTTACAAAATTTAGTATTAAACGATTCCTCTTGTCGAGCTAAAGAGATTGGTATCAAAATTGATAAGGGTCAGAAATTTTCTAGCAAGTTATGGCTTTACGCCTACTTGGCCGCGCGCCTACTTGGGCGTGTCCCAATATTTATGCTTACTAATTGTTTTGCGTCTCCAACAACTTTGAAAATAAGATTTTCCTTATTCTCCCAGGCCTTTTTTTCTCATTCTAATTGGGCAATTTTTCGCTTGAAAATTCTAAATACATTTTACCTAATTTAATAAAATAGGTAAATTTTTTTAAATTTATTGTTAATTTTAGAAATTTAAAAAAATTTAAATTTTTTTTTGATTTTAATTGAGTAGTATGTTACCAACAAATTTGTTGCCAACGATTCTTCGAAATGTTAAGGTTTTTTTTAAAATCATACTTCCAGTTTTTTTAAAATTTTAAGCCTTCTATGATGACAAAATTGGTTTCTTCAACTTTAAATTCTTTCCAAAAATCTTCTCTTCAAGCTTTTTCTACCTCGGCAATTCGTTTTGAGGCAGATAAACGTCCTTTGGGACCTGGAAATGCTGTGCCGAAATTTTTGGTTTTTTTGATTTTTTTTAAATTAAATTTATCCTTTTTTAAAGGGAAAAGCGGTTGTTAATAGAGAAATTAAGACTATTGCTTATGACGATAAATCTGCGGGTAAATTTTTAAATAAGAATTTTTAAGGGGCTATCTTGTTATTATTTTTGTGAGAGATCTATTTTTGAGGGAAGACTCTAGAGATTTGAAGAGTAATTGGTTGAATTTTATGTAAAATTGTTAAATTTTGGGACTTTGGAGGGCCATAAATTGGACAGAAAAAACGGGCAAAAACGGCACAAAATCCTCCTAGAAAGGGCACATTCTCTGTCGAGTGAGCCCGATCTCAACCGTTTTCAGGTCGGACACCTCGCAACCTTTCCTTGATATGATAAGTATGGCTAACTTTTTCGAGTTGGAAGACTTTAAGGGAAAATTTTCCGCCCTCCTCTTTGGTGATCGTTTATGTCTCTGAAGCCTGGCTTTTATTTTGTCGGGTCAAATATGCGATGTTCGATTCGATCCTCCAAACATAGTCAAGCTATATTGTCACCCCTAAACCTAGGAAATGAGGACTCATCTTCCTATTACTTCCTTTATCGTTAGCTTTTGAGTAAATGAAGCCTTTACTTTTTCCCACCGTCAAAAATTTAATTTTTCTTGCTCCGTCCCATCTCTGAGCATTTTCGAGTTGGAAGACTTTAAAAAGTTATCTGCCCTCCTCTTTGGAGAGAGACCGTTTATGTCTCCAAAGCTGAATAAAAAATAAAAAAATTATTTAATTATTTTTTTAAAGATATTAATTATGCTGGCAAATGGCTGATATTTTTCTTTTATCCGGTTTTGATTTTTAATTTAATTTCTTTTAACTAATTTTAAAATTTTAGCTAGATTTTACTTTTGTCTGTCCAACGGAGGTTTTTCTTTTTAAATTTTAAAAATTGTTTTTAAAATTTATTTTTTTTTCAAAAGATTATTGCCTTCAGTGAGAGATGTGAAGAATTTCAAGATTTGGGGGCTGAATTAATTGCTTGTTCTTGTGATTCTCATTTTTCTCATTTGGCTTGGGTAAATACTAAACGTGAAAATGGAGGGCTTGGAAAGATGGAAATACCTATACTTAGCGATTATAACAAACAAATTGCTACTGATTTTGGTGTTTTGGACAAATCTACAGGAATTCCTTATCGGTTTTTTTATTATAATTTTTTGGAAAAAGCTTCGGAGAGTTCGAATTCAAACTATTAAATGTTTGCTAGGGTTCGAATCCCTAGCCGGATTCATTTGGAAGAAAAAACGGGCACCGGATTGGCCGTATGAATAGATCGAATCGTTTAATAAATATATCCATTTAATCCAAAGCTAAATTCTACTATAATTTACAAAAATTTGTTCTTTGTTCTAAATAAGGAAGAAAAATCGTCCAGTTTGGGTCGTTTTAAATTAAAAAAGTTCTCCAGGATCTAGGGAAAAAAGGGAAAAACATTATTTTTTAGAATTTATTTTTAAATATTTGTTCACGACCGGTTAATTTTTCGTTGTTGATGGCGGCTCAAATGTTTTTAAAATTTCTCCTTTTGAGCTTGGAAATTGGCGAAAATTAACCGGTCATGAACTATCCTAATTTTTAAATAAATTAATTTATATTTTTTTAAAGTGGACTCTTTATAATTGACCAAAAAGGATTAATTCGTCATACTCTTGTTAATGATTTACCAATTGGTCGAAGTGTTGATGAAGCTTATCGAGTTTTAAGTGCTCTTAAATATTTTGAAGCACACGGAGAAGGTTTGAAAAATTATTTTAAAATTAAAAAAAATTTTTTTAAAGTCTGCCCCGCAGATTGGGAGGAAGGAGATGACACAATTGATCTTAAATCACCAAAAGATTATTTCAAGGAACATGCAAGAGATTATTACCATGCCGAAGATGAAGAAAAATGAAGGGAGGAATGAAAATAAAAAATAGAAATAAATAAAAGATGAAGTTTAAGTTTATTTTAATTTTCTACGCTATATTCTGTTGAATATATACAAGTAAATTATTTTTGGTATGTTTTTTTCTTTAAAATTGAGGGTGAAACGACTCATTTTCTTTAATATGAAAAATAAGAGGGAATTAGCCGTTTCAAAAATACCAAACTTTGAAGCCCTATACATAATAACTTTTTTCTTTCGGGGAAGGACCAAAAATTATCGATAATTAGGGAATTTTTGTGCCAGTTTGTCTTTGTTAAATAGCCAAATTAACCGATTCCTAATTTAAAAATTCTCAGGACTGATATTGAAAGGGTCTTGGAGATAATAAAACATAGTTAACCAAGACTGATTTCGCTTCAAAAATACCAAACTTTGAAGCCTAAACTTTGACTTTCAATACCAAACTTTGAAAATTTTTTAAAGTCTGTCCTGCAGATTGGGAGGAACTTTTTACTTTCGGGGAACCTCTTTATCTGTTAACTACTATATTAGACAGAAATTGAAATATAGTTACTCAAACAGTCAAAAATATAAATAAAAACAAATTTAAAAACTCAATTTAATTTTAATTAAACTACAAAACACATTCTCGTGAAAAAATTTTAAATAAAAAATAGCGTCTGAAAAAAAGAGGGGGTAAAAATAATAAGACGTAAAAGAAATTTTTAATTGGGCATATTAGACGAGGTGATGGAGGGGGGATATGGGAGGGAGAGAGGGGGGGATGGAGATTTATAGAGGGGGGGGATGGAGGGATTTTTATAGAGAAAGCAATTTTCTGAAGGGTGTAGATAAATTGACTTATAGAGAGAATCTATAAAAAAATTTTTTTGGCAGCCTTCCATTAATAAACAACTCTTGTCTAGTCTAGACATTCAGTCATAGTCAAAGGGTTGTCGAGAGGAAAATTTTGACTGCCCTCTCTCTCCTTTTTAAGGAGAATTTAAAAAAGCTTCTCCCTCCCTTTTAATTTTATTCAAATTTTAATTTGTCGGAAATTTTAAAAAATCGTCGTAAAACGGAATCCCGCATCAACTATATGTATAATTTTTGTTAATTCCTAAAAAACAAAAAAAATTTCCCGTCAAATTACCCAAAAATTCAACAATGTTTATTACATTTAAATTAATTATGTTAATTTTGTTTATTCTTAAATTTGCAACATTTTATTTGGATGCAACTGAAAATGTAGATAAGGTTTGTAGAAAAAAGTGAGAAAAACGGGAATTTATAATTTGTAGTCTCATTCTAAGGGGGCACATAGAAGCGCCTACTGTTGTCTGAAGGTTGTCCTGAGATTTGTTAAGGGGCCTATTTCTCCCCTCCACAGATTCTGTGTTCTGTGCACAGAATCCTATCCGCAGAATCTGTGGAGGGGAGAAATAGGCCCAAAGTCGACGAGCATAATAATAACATTTTATACAATGTAGGTGAAGGTGGACTGAGGCTGGAATAGCGAAGGGTATTAAGAACTAGCTTGGCGAGTATTATTCGATTAGACCACCGCTGATACTGGCTTTAATACTATAGTGATATCCCTACACAGGAGATTGATTGGAAATGACTAAGGTGCTATAATAACTCATCCCACCCTAACAGAGCATTTTAAAATTTTTAAAATTAATATATACATAAATTTAAACTCAATTAAAATTTCCAGTTAAATATATTTCTTCAAGAAATACTTTTAATTGAAGGAAGAACAAAAGAAATTCAAAAAGAAATAGAAGGAATGGATAAGAGTATTGATAAAGTTATTGAGCATGTATCTGACTACATAATTAGTTGTAAGGGATTGAAATTTGAAAAAATTAAAGATAAGAAAGAAGAAAATAAAAGTAAACTACTTGCTCGGGTAAGTTTTTTTAATTGAACATTGAAAAAAATTTATTAGAAATTGGGGGACAGATTGGGGGGAAAATTGAAAAATAATTGGTTGAATAATTAAATTTGCCTAATAAAGCTAATTTTTAATATTTTATCGAATTAAAAAAATTTGAGAGCAAATTTTTGTGATTTTTGGTGCCAGTAGATACACACTGGGGATTGATGAACCTAATAACTACCGTATTTCCTCTATTAGAATGGCCCTCTGTATTTGAACGACTCCCTCCGTTTGAATGGCCTCCTGATTAGCGACGGTATTCCGCTAGTAAAGCAGCTGGGAGATATCTATTTCTCTCCTCTAGCTAGTGCACTAGGTTATTCAGCGGCAGGGAGCGAACCAGCATCTTCAGTAAACCGGACTGATGTGTTAGCCATTTACACCACTCCGCCTCATGCTTAATTTTAGGAATTAAATAGCTATATGCTTTAAACTCTGTATTTTTCGGTATTACGATACAGAATACGGTACGTAACGAATTTCCTAGCTCTAGTTAACGCAATAATTACCCTGAGTAATCATTTTTTCACTCAAAAAGTAAATTTTCAATTTTTAGAAGAAAATAGCTAAGCTCATAGCACAAAGTGTGCCAAATTATCGAGTTGATTTAAACCAAATTTCAAATCAAAATGATGGATGCCCAATATGTTTAGAAGGCTTTTTCAAGAAGGATAAAACAACCCCTGTAATTGTAATGATTGGATGTGGACATGTATTCCACGAAGAATGTTTATTAAATAATGTTAAATGTATTGGAGACAATATTAAAGAAAACCAGCATTTTATATGTCCAACATGTCGAAAGTTAATTAAAAAACCCATAATTTTAAAGGGAAAAAATTTTTCAGAAAAAAATGAAAAAGTTAATGGGCAAAACTATGAAATAGCAATTAAACCAAATCTGGTAAATTTTTTTTGGTTTATTTTAGTAAAGATTAGGGTTGGAGGCCCGGTTCGGGCAAACGACCTCGTTCGGTCGGAGTGCCCGGTTCGATAAAAACGAGACCCGAAAAAATGACTTGAACGTAGACCTGGTTCGAAAAATCCAACCTTAGTAAAGATGGATAGACTGGGTCAAAATTAAAACTTTTTTTTGATACTTACACTTATCATTTTTCCGATACGTGCCTTGATATAAATTACCTAAACATACCTAATTGCATATCGTGCATATAATCCGTGCTTATTTTGCCCAACCCTAACAATAAGTATAAATGTTAGAGGGGATTTCCAGAGATAACACAAGCAACCGGCACTATAAGAACTTGGTTAGGTGACCAGGTTAGCGGCAGCGCCGAGTTGACCCTACGTCGCGGGTTTGGCGTCGCTGTGTTTTCCTCATTTTCCCTATGTGAATGATATTGGTTGATCAGGCTTAAATCCGATCGAACACTAGGGCCAATGCTCGATTGATAACTAGTTGGAATGAACACCAACTAATCTGCTTTTCCCTATTCTCCTACGGCTTAAATGCACCTTCTCTCTAGGCGGGGTTTTACTAGTTTCTCAAGTATTATACCTTTAAGCCTTACAATAATAAGTATAAAGTGTAATAATGTTAATGATGGAGCTAATTAATTTTATGTATGTACTTAAATTTTAAGGATGAAATAGCTAATCGTTTAATGACTACTCACCGACGGATTTCACTTCAATCCATATTAAAAATATCCAACAAAAAATGCCCTCATTGTAAGGAATTATTAGAAAATGTAAATAAACCGATAACAAAACTTTATTGTGGACATATTTTCCATATAAATTGTTTAAATGAATGGATTGGAAAAGGAAAAACGAAAAAAGAAGGAGAAACAAAATACTTGAAGTGTCCCATCAAAGAGTGTCAAGCACCTATTATGTGTAGAGAATTGGGTGTTAAAATTGAGGAACATAACGATGGCAATTGTGATAGTCGTAATGGACCATGATAGATTTTTAATGAAATTTTAGATTGTTAAATGTACATTATGTATAATTTTAAAGTAAATTTAGTTAATCTGTATTTTTAGAGAAAGAGTTTAGCAAAAGCTTAGCCACCGGGTAGAGTTTGAACCTGCGACCTCCTCGTAGTTATTGCTAGGGGTGCCGGAATTTTCGTCTGTGGAAATTTCGTCTCCAAGACTTTTCGGAACTTTCGTCTCCAACATTTTCGGAATTTTCGTCTCCAGCGGAATATTCGTCTCCACGGAAATAAACGGAATATTCGTCTCCGCGATTTTCGTCTCCGTTAGGAATTTTCGTCTCCAGAGGAAAATTACCTGTTGATGGAACAACATCCCCCGTTAACGGAACAACATTCCCCGTTAATGGAACAACATCCCAGTTGACGGAACATCATCCCCCGTTGACGGGACACATTTTTCCTCTGGTCCGTCAACGAGTAATTTTCCTCTGGAGACGAAAATTCCTAGCGGAGACGAAAATTGCGGAGACGAAAATTCCGATTATTTCCTTAATGACGAATATTCCGCTGGAGACGAAAATTCCGAAAATGTTGGAGACGAAAGTTCCGAAAAGTCTTGGAGACGAAATTTCCAGAGACGAAAATTCCGTACACCATTGCTAGGCGCGTTCGCTCACCGCATACGGGAGCTCTACCACTGCGGGAGCTCTACCACTATCCTTTAGATCGTTTAATCCTCGCTTAAGCGTTTTAAAAGTTATAGGTGAATCATCCTTACAATACATAATAGTTCTTGTATTCGATCCAAATATTAGGAGTAATTAAGAAGAGTATTCCTTTGAATAATTGGACTACATATAGGGGTTTTTAAACTTAATTTCTGGATTTTAAATACCCCTAGATGTAGTACAGTAACAAAGCTACAACTCGTAGCACTGCCCTTGGAAAGGAAAAATTTTAGGAAAAATTTTTATTTTTTAAGATTATAGCCTCGGCGGTAGGTTGGGCTCGCGGTAGGTTGGGGTTTACTCGTAATTATTATACATATGTACTTTGAAAAATATTTTTTCTTATAATATTCATATACAAATATTCCAAAAACTTCAAAAACCTCCATAAGAAATATGCTTTTCAATTTCACATTCATTAGTTCCACGACGCATGTAGAAGAAGCCGCCCTTTCCCCATTTGGGACCCCATGAATTTCTTATAATCCAAAAAGGTATTTTCTTCCCACCACATGTAGCAGTCCCATATCCGGTAATAACAACAGCATGCCCTCCGAGCTCTTTACCCTTTACATTCTGAACGAAAAATAATTTAATGTATAGTGAATAAATAAAAATACATAGTAAACTCCGTCCTTGTAAGCGTTAAAATCTTCATAAACGTAAAAGCCAGCAGATACAGGTCCGAATTTTTTGAGTTGCTCTTTAATATTAGCTTCTCCTCCCTTAGTGCTGACTGATTTCACTGGAAATTGAGGAAATTAAATTAATTTTCTCAATAATTTTTAACGTGCCATGGTGTTTTCTATCATTAGGATAAGTTATTTTCCATTTTGAGTTAGTGCAATTTTTTGAGCAACCTTTCAGTTTTGGATCATTGTTCCATGGAGCAAAAGGATATGGCTTGCAACCGCTCTTACGAGGGAAGTCAGTTCCTGTACATATTCCGTTTTTTTCTACCCATTTCCATGCATCTTCCACCACCCCTCCGTTACACCCATCTGGCTGTGAACATGAGAGTAAATCATATGCCGAAAATGGCGTTTTTGGGATGCTCCGATTATTTTTTGACTGATCAATACAATAAAGATCAGTGAAACAAGAAGCTACTGAATGAGCCCAACAACTACCACATTCGCCCTGATCTTGAACATAGTTAATGATAGATTTACAGGCCGGCCATTTTGTGCGAGCATCAAATTCGATATTATAGGTGCATGATACTGCCCTTTTAGCTCTTCCAACTTCTCTTTTATCTCTAGGAGGTTCATCTTCAATTTCATTCCCTCCATTTGTTCCGACATTCAATGCTCCATTACGTAACTTCTGAACTTTTTCTGGCAGCAGAGCTTCTAAATTCAATTTTGCTGTCCATTCTCCACCAGTTAGTGTGGCAATTTCAGCTACACTTTGTGCAATCCTCAATAAGTCTTCTTGGCTTATTGAATATCCATGTTTTGATAGCTCTTTCAATGTTTCCGTCAGCTCCGTTAGTTCAGCATCACTTAAGGGTAATCTTGGGCCGAGTAATCCTCTAAGTAAATTTATGACCAAGTTAGTTATTAGTCCAAAAATATCTCTAGGTAAAAGTTTAATCAAGTTCTCCAGTTGATCCGCCGATGTTGTTGTAGAAATATTTAAGATTAAAAAAATTGCTAATATAATAGTTATTTTCCTCATTATTATTCCTAACAAAATTATTAAAACATTTAACTTCCTTTCACGGATGAACATTCCGCATCCTCGGAACAACTCCCGTCCTTGAAACAACTTCACCTGTTATTGGAACAATTTCTGTGGATTATGAGGGATCTAAGGAATATCTGTTGATTTGGTTGGATATTGATATATCCAAGTATTTGGACTGATATTGGGTTCATCCATTATGACCAGGGGCCTCTGCAAATTAGATCATATCTCAGATATGACGTGTCATATTTGTGACTAGAGTCCGACATTTAACTCACTAACTGACCATCATTGACCAAATGTCGGACTCTAGTACTAATTTGCATAGGCCCCAGAGGTGGGTCGGAAATGGCGGTGTCGGAACTGTCGGAAATAGGAAATGGCTCAAAATTCGGAACTCGGAATTTCGAGCACTTCTAATTATAATAATTTAAATATTTTAATAAAAAGATTTGATTACAAAAATAAAATTAAGGAAATAATAAATTTTCAAGAAAAACGGTTGTTAATTTATACAAATGATTCTAAACACGTCTATGTACTGACGATTTAACACGTATCAATTTTAACAAATCATTTTCTATATTTTTTGCTTAAAATTTAATGTTTTCGGTAATCTTCAGCTTTACTGGTCCCTTGAAAAAAATGTGGTAGAATTATTTTTTGGATATTTTTGAGGTCTGCCAGTAGGTAATCGAGTGTGCTGAGTTCGAATATGGGCTTAGAATTTGTTTATTTCGAACCCCGGACACGAATTCGACCAAGTCGTATTTGGGGTAAAAATTCGAAACTATTAGGCTATTTTGCTATTCTACGCATCAATTTAAGCTGAGTCGAATGAGATCAAAATTTAATGTGTTTCGACTACTTTGGACTGAGTTAAGATCAATTAAATACACACTTGATTGGACTTCCGTATATAAATCAGACACCATAACTTAGTCTAAAGATGTCGAAACGTAATAATTTTGATACCAATCAACTCAGCTCGAAGAACCGAGTCCGATTAGACATAAAATTTGAAATTTTGAATTTTTACCCCATGTTTGACATGGTCGAATTCGGGTCCGGGGTTCGAAATAATCAAATTCTAAGCTGAGATTCGGACTCAGCAAGCTCAATTACCTACTGGCTTGCCTCAAAAATGTCGAACTTGCACTTTTTCTTCATTTTTTTCTAGGGACCAGTAAAGCTGAAGATTACAATGTTTTCAATTTCTTTTGTATCGTTCACTTCCTTATTATTATTTTGTAAAATTTCCTAAGCCACGTCTCATGTAAATTTTGAGCCTAGAGAATTAAGAGCTAAATTCTATTGTGTTTAACAATTACTAATTTTGTTTAAATAAAAATGTTTATTTTATATTTAAACAAATAATAGAAAAATATTTTTTGTAAATTTATTTCCAATGAATAATCAAAGGAAGTAATATTTTTAATGTACACACATCGCCTATAATTTCCTATAATTTAAAATTTTTATAAAATTTTCTAACCAAAATTAAATAAGAAAAATAATTTTTTACATTTGTGGAAACGTGGCGAAAAATTTAAGAAAAATCTTTATTATTAAGGTTGTCGGTTTCACCAAATTCTTCGGATAACCTAAACCAAACCGAAAATTTGTCGGCGATTAAGTGATATACTATAAAAACTGTATTAACGTCCCTCCCTCAAATACTTACCCCGCCTTTATTAGTTACCCTCTCCAGCGAAAGGTTGAAACAATAATTACTCTCTTAAAAATAGTTATAATTAGCCTTCCTAAAGTAACCTCTATTAATTACCCCTTTCAGCGAGAGATCGAAACAATAATCACTCAGGGTAGTTAGTACAGTTTTACGATATGTGGATTAGGGAGTGGAGTATTATAGCGCTAACTTAGGTATTTTTCTCGGTTTCAATTCCTGGAAACTGAGAAAAATAAATGTGCCGCTATAATTTTGTGGAGCAGTGTATAATATCATTCCCTTATTTCGCTGCAATTACTATAGAAAATATAAAGTGAAAATAAAAAATACAACTTCTTTTTTTTGCGCGCTGACAAAAATTTTAAGAATTTTGGAAGGTCGAGAGGCAAGCGAGAATTATAGGGGGGTAAATTTGAAGGGGAGGATTCTTTAAATTTTCTAATATCCCGTCGAATCACCCACAATATCTCTTTTAATCCCTTCAAATTCGACTTTAGAGTTGCAAAAAGAACTTTAACTCCCTCGAATTACACTCAAGAAGGTACCATAATTTGCCACTTTACAATTTTAAATATTAATTTTATTTCCGACTTCCGATTTACGGCGTTATTTCCTTCCGATTTCTGATCACCGAAAAAAATTTTGATTTCCGAGTTCCGACATTTCCGAGTTCCACTGACTGTTCCGACCCACCTCTGCTAAATAGTACGAGTAAATAAAGAAGTGTATTCCTTTAAATAATTGTATGTACTATAAGGGGTTTTAAAATTACTTTTTGGAAAATGTTGACTCGTTTTTTCAAAAAAATTTTTTGTGATGATCTGATCTTCTAAAAATTTAAATAGATCTTTTTAGCGAATAACTAACAAGATGTTATGGATTTTTGGTTAATTTTTTTAAAAATTTTTAGAATAAAATTTACATTTTCTTCCTAAGCAAACTTTTATAGTTATTCCGAACATTACTAAAAATCTACAAAATAAGGGTGTTGGATAGTTAGAAACCTTCGGATATCCGGATCCGACAACCTTACTGAAAAATTTAAACATGTATGTTGATATTAGTGATCGGACCATACCGTAGTTAATTTTATCTCTAATTTAATATAGTTGGAATCTTATCATTTTATCACATATTATTACAAGTTTAACACTTTAATTTTTACTTATACATATCGCAATTATATTATACTTTGAAAAAATATATTTAGAAAATTGGATAAGAAATGTATTTTTCAATAACACATTCATTAGTTCCACGACGCATGTAGAAGAAGCCGCCCATTCCAAAAGTGATACTGTATGAATTTCTTATAATCCAAAAAGGTATTTTTTTCCCATCACATGTAGCAGTTCCATATCCGGTAATAACAACAGCATGCCCTCCAGGTTTATCACCCCATACGTGCTGAATAAAAAATAATTTAATAAATAGAGAATAAATAAAAATTACAGTATAAACTCCATCTTTGTAATGATTAAAATCTTCATAAATGTCAAATGAGGCAGATACAGGTCCGCGTCTGCTGAGTTCAAATTTAATATTAGCTTCTCCTTCCAAAAAGCCGACGTCTGTCACTACAAATTGAGGACATTAAGTTAATTTTCTCAATAATTTTAACGTGCCATAATGTTTTCTATCAGTATCATAAGGTATTTTCCATTTTGAGTTAGTGCAAGTTTGTGAGCAACCTGTCAGTTGTGGATTGTTGGTTCCTGGATTAAAAGGATATGGCTTGCAACCGTCCTGACGTTGGTAGTCAGTTCCTGTACATATTCCATTTTTTTTAATCCATCCATATGCTTCTTCTTCCGAGCCTCCTTTACACCCATTTTCTTTTGAACAAGAGAGTATTTCATATGCCGAAAATATATAGCTAGCATTGAATGGGGTGCTCCGAAGATTTTTTGCTTCGTTAATACAATAACGATCAGTATAACAAGAAGCTGCTGAATGAGCCCAACAACTGCCACAATGGCCCTGAGTTTGAACATAGTTAATGATAGGTTTGCAACTTGGCCATCTATCACGAGCATCGAATTCGATATTATAGGTGCATGATGCTGCCCGTTTAGATCTTCTTGCTTGCCTTTTTTCTCTTGGAGGCCCATCTTTATCCGCTCCATCTTCATCATCATTCCCTTTATTCGCTTTAGTAGTCAATGATCCATAAAGTCTCTTTTGAACTTCCAGTGGCAGCAAACTTTCTAAATTAAAATGAGCTGTCCATTCTCCTCCAGTTAGTCTGTTAATTTCAGCTATTTCTTTTGCACGCTTTAGCAATTCTTCAGAAGATATTGTATACCCTGATCTTGATAGTTCCTTTAATTTTTCTGCCAGATCTTGAAGGTCTTCTTCACTTAAAGGTAAGGTTGATCCGAGTAAGTTTCTAAGGAGATTTTTAAGTGTTCCAAGTACTCCTCCAAGTATACCACCAAGTAAACCTCCAAGCAAATCTTCTAAGGGATCCGATGTTGTTGTAGAAATATTTATGATCAAAAAAATCGAAAATAAAATAATTATTTTCTTCATTATTATTCTTAACAAATAAATATATCATTATAACATTTTAAAAGGCTATTGTGATAATTAGATACCGGAGTATGCAAGAAAATATAATATACATACTAGAGTAAGTTGAGTACCGAGTAATTGGGAAAAAACCGAGCTCGAGTAATCCGAGTTTGAAAAACCCGAGTTCGAGCTCGAGCTCAACTTTTTAGGCCGAGTTCGAGTTCGAGTAGTCGAGTAATCGAGTATTTTTTATAAAACAGTATTTTTAAATAATTTCGATAAAAACAATACTTTTACTAAAGGCTATTCATCCTCAGTGCCGTGTTTTGAGCATTTGTTGGCAGTATTGCGTTAGATCTTCATCCAAATCCCATTTATTTTCTTAATCCGACTATATCCCTCTTAATCCGCAGAAATTCCATGATATGCACACGATCAATGTTGAATCCGGGCTCCGGGTTGAACATCAATGGATAATATTATTTCGGGGATTCGTGTAGATTGAGGATATCGAATGATAACAGAGGAATGAGATGGATATCAAGGGATTAAGCGGGATTTAGGCCGATTATAGTGAGATTTGGGTGTATTAGGAGCAAAATCTTGGAAATTCGGGAGATTAATTGGGATATCGTCGGATTAGATAGATTGTCGAAAGGTGATCATGAGATACGTTGCTCTATCCCTCTCTTTTCGCGTCGTTGGCTTAAATTTTGAGAATTTCTGAAGGTCAAGTAGGAACACCAATTTTCAGAAGGCCAGATACCTCGCTATTCTTTTAGATCCCTTGAAATATCCGGATATCACTAAAATCCACTTAGCTTGATTGAATCCTCCGATATACACAAATCTTCCTTTTTCAGCGCCGCAGCCAAAAATTTCGAGAAATTTGGAAGGCCAGAGAGCAAAATTTCTTCTTTTAGCGCCGCAGCCAAAAATTTTGAGAATTTTGGAAGATCCTTAAGCTAAAAATCTTCCTTTTTGCGCCGCAGATGGGTCATAAAAATACTCGGTTTTAACCGAGTACGTCGAGTAGGAAGTTTCCGAGCTCGAGTAATCCGAGTATTATGATTCCGAGTTCCGAGTCGAGTAATTACGCAAAAAACCCGAGCGGTCGAGTCGAGTAACTCGAACCGCTCGGACTTACTCTAGTTTACACTACGCCTAATAAAGGCAGAGTTTTATATACAAACCTGTGTAAAGCATATAGCTATTTAATTCCTAAAGCTAAGAACGAGGCGGAGTAGTGGATAAATAGATAACAACACATCAGTCCGGTCTCCTGAAGATGCTGGTTCGCTCCCAGCCGCCGATTAACCTTTTGCACTAACTAAAGGAGAGAAATAGCTAACGCCCAGCTGTTTTACTACAGCTCACCTATTATAATAATTTAAATATTTTAATAAAAAGAACATTTGATTAGAAACAATTAAATTAAAGAAATAATAATTTTCAAAGAAATGTTTGTTAATTTATACAAATGATTCTAGACATCTCATGACGATTTGACACGTATCAATTTTATCATCCTATATTTTTTCCTTAAAATTGAATGTTCAATTAATTTATATTTTCTTTCTTATGATTATTTTCTAAACTTCCTAAGCCACGTCCCAAATAAATTTGATAAAAGCTTAGAAAATTAAGAGCTAAATTCCATTGTGTTTAAAAATTAATTTCCTTTAAATAAGAATGTTTATTTTGTCTGAACAAATAAAATAGAAAAATATTTTTCGTAAATTTATTTCCAATGATGTATGTAATAATAATCAGAAGGAAGTAACATTTTTAAATGTACATACACATTTCTTATAATTTGCAATTGTGGAAACGTGGCGACAAAATTAAAAAAAAGGCTTTTTCACAGGCAGAATTTTAATATTACAAAAATTGTAAAAAAAGATTATTGAAACCAAGAAAATATGCAAGGACGGGGAAGGTAGTTACAATGATTGGGGAAGTGTTTAAACACAAAATTGACAAAGTTGACGGAAGTCGGGACTGCGGAAATATGAAATTTTATCAAAGTTTCGGACATTGGAAATCGAAAGGAAAACATCTCGGAACTCGGAAGTTCCAACAAATGTGAAAGTTGTTCCATGAACCGGGGAAGTTGATCAACAAAAAATATATTGGTGGTAGGTTGGGCTCGCGGTAGGTTTTGGGTGTACTAGTGATGTTCGGGTATCCCGATCCCGACTGCCGAGTTGGGAAAATTTCCCGAGTTTTTGGACTCCCGATCCCGACTCCTATGGCAATTCCCGACTAAGTCAGGAAATTTTTTCCGGAAAACCCGATTCCCGGGTTTTTTCTTCTCCCGAACATCACTAGGGTGTACCCCTTCCGCTCACGTTTTTAAAATTAAAAATTATTCATCTCTAGTTTGTATCTTTAATCCCTAATCTTTATATAAATTCTTTTATTTTATATTCGAATAATACTTCAAATTTGCTTCAATAATTATTTACAATTTAAATTTTTATAGTTAATTTTATTTATAAGAATTTTTTCAAAAAAGAATTTACAAATTTTATCACCAGACAGTTAAATAAAATTTAAATTTTTATAGGTTCAAATGTGGCTTTTAATTGTTAAACAGGTAAAAATGTGACAATTTTTATTATTAACTAAAGCATCTAAAGTACTATTTATGATTGCACTTTTTAATAAAAGTTGAATTAAATTTGTTCAAATATTTAAAAAAATTTTTACACTCTCAGACACAGACATGGATATTAAGTACATAAAATTGCCTATAAAATAGCATTTTTGAATAAATTTCAAATAAATTTCAAATAAATTTCAAATAAATTTTGCTCTTCCAAAATTCTCAAAAAATGCCACATTTTTACCTAAAATTTTTATTTCCCTTAATTTTACTAAATCTATCCCCCTTACTTATAAAAAGCGATCTATGTAAATTTCCAACGGCAAAGGGGAACCAAACTGTTGATGAGACTATACCCCTAACTAAAGACAAAGATTTTGGATTTATCCGTCTGATAGCTTCCCCAAAGTTGGGAAGCTGTACAATTGACTTTAGTAAGAAAATGTCGCCAATATTATGGTTATCTAATGGGGTGACTGTTAGTAATTTAATTATTGGAACTGAATCATCTTCGGGCATTTGGTGTAGTGGAAGTTGTACTTTGAAGAATGTCTAGTCGGTTTTATTTTTGTAAATACTACAGTAATTATTGCCGTGTATAATAGCACTTGATTAGTTGATATTAGGGTTGGACACGAAGGGCTTTAAAGCCAGAAATTTTGACATTTATTTCCAAAAATTAACCGCTTTTATGAAATTTAAAAACTGAAAATTTTTATAAATAAGTGGATTTTTTAAAATCCCCCCAAAATAAAGCCGGAGCAAAACTCAAAACCAAAAACTGTTGTTTAAATTTGGATTACTCTAAAACCGTGGATAGCGGCCAGTAACCGGTTAAGTCTCCAAAATTTAACCGAAGGCTAACTACCTTCAAACTACAATGGTCTATTCTCTAGGGTTGTTCACAGTCGGTTAACCTAACCGAAACTCGGTGTTTCTGGCCAATAAACCGAAAACCGAGGGTACCGGTTAATAACCGGTAATAAACAACCTTCGTCTAACAAACCTAGTCTATAATGAACAAACCTAGTCTAACAAACCTAGTCCCTAATCTATTCAAAATCAGCTAAATATCTATCCTTATCAAAGCCTAGTCCCAAAATTTCAACCCCTACCTAAAAAATTTACCACTAAAATATTCAGTTTTGAACGTGTTTGTACTCACGCCGCAGCTTTCAATGCAACAACAGACTTTACAAAAACTGATAGACGTTCATTTACTTACACAGTTGAGGGGGGTGCTGGACTCCACGCTTTGGATAAAATGTTTGTACAGTCTGGCCCCGGAAAGACAATAATTAATAATTTTTGTGGGGATGGATTTCAAAAAGTTTGGCGGTCGTGTGGGACTTGTAATGATGAAGTGAGTCAAAATTCTAAACAAAGAACTGTTTTTATAACAAATTCAAATTTTACTGGAAAAGGACACGTAATTGCATGTAAGTCAAATAATTTTTCATATATTAAATTACCGTAAATACTCTAAAAAAGCCCCGGGGCTTATTTTTTCGATCGGCCTCTAGAGGGGGCTTATTTTGAAAGAGGGCTTATTTTAGGTGGGGGCCTATGTTAGAGGATTTACGGTATTGGTTTTTTAATATTGGTTGAAGTTAGGGAAGGAAGATCCATCTAGCTAATAAGGGGTCATTGATCACCACAATAAACGATAGTTCCTTGTAAGATAAAAAATCAGACGGTATGTATAAATTCTAGAAATTGATAGAAATATTATAATGTACTAGTTATTGAAGCATTTGTAAGAAAGGAAGATCAAGCTTACTGCAATTTAAACACCTAGGTGTCCGAGTCAGTAGAAAGTCGCCGTTTCGATCTCAATGACTAAATTTATGCTAACTCGTATTTTAATTACAAATAATATTTTAAAGCCGGAAATGCTCCATATAACGACAAAGTTTCTTTCAATAATGTCAAAATATTTGGTTATAAAAATCGTTCAACAAGAGTTGTTTATGCCTGTGGAGAAGTTAGACCAGAAATAAGTGAAGATCATTTAGATACAGGAGCTTCAAATTGGTATTTACCTGGGCATGCAGGCACAGGACCTGTTTGTAATTATCCAGCTTCGGCAGTTAAAATTGTTAATTAACTAAACTTGATATTTAGGATATAATTAATGTTATTTTTGTGAATAAAGTTATAAGTATAGTTGTTATTAAATAAATTAAAAAGCAACTGTTTGTGACTTTTAGACGATGGAGACACATTAACTGTGAACCTGAGGTGGGTCGGAACAGTCAGAGGTGTCGGAAGAGCTGAAATAGGAACTGGCTTAAAAGTAGGAACTCGGAAAAATCGGAAGTCGGAATTGTGAAAAAAACCTCTGCTCTGAACATGCGTGAGTATTAATTTTATACCATATCGTTCCATATAGCCAATTTTTGGCTTTTTTGCTCTAATATTGAAAGTAAGAAGTTACAAGCCTTCGGCCTGCCAGTTCAGGAATGATTATGTTTTAATGTAAATACAAATTTTATTTTATTTATTTGCGTTAAAATGACGCGAAGGTCACAAATACAATTTAAAAAAAGTAAAAATATAAAATTCGAAATAATCCTAATATTTAAAAAAATTGAAATTTAAAAATCAGGACTATTCTTGTTTCCTATTCATTTATTTTGTTCCTATTGTTCTAATTATTTTGGGAAATTTATCTCCTAAAAATACACTAATAATCACTTTTAATGAGTGATTCTCGTTTTTTTTGTTGGAAAAAAATTCGCTTATCTAGGGCTATTAATGATATAATATACATTCAGGCTAAAAAAAGTTAAAATCAATCAAAGCTGTCTAACGCTACAACTCTTAAATTACTAAATTTAGTAAAATTTTAAACAAATTTTTATTTTTTATTGAATCGGCGATTTGAAGAAATATAAAAATTGTTGGATGAGGCACACAAAATTAAAGATAAGAACGTGTATATGTATACGTGTTTTATACAAAAGAAAAAATTTATTTCTTCCCTAACCCAAACACAGCCCTTAAAAATAATTTTAATTATCGTAATTATAATAGTATATTCCTCCTAAACTTCAGTTGCTTTTTCATTGCTTCTTTTTATAGTCTTCAAAGTCTTAAAAAAGAAGAAAAAAATTATTAAGAATTAAAATGGTTGTGCTCCAAGTATCTGAGGTCAACACCCTGAATTTGGGCAAAAATATACTCTTTTTAATCTGAAAAATACCCAAGCTCCGAAAAAAAATTCCTAAACTAAATTATAATCAGGAAAATGAACATGCGTGAGTATTGCCCACCAATTGCCCACCACCATTTGCCCACCAACTGTGAACGATAGATCACCCTATAATTGAGTCTAAAGCTTGATAGGTACTTTTCCGTTATACTACCGCAAACTGAGGGCTAGCCGACTTTGATCGGCTATAACTTTTTTGTGCTTGATCCAACACAAATAATTCTATATCATTCCGAAGCCCTCGATGTACAAAAAAGTTATAGCTGGTAGTCTGGCTTGCGAGTCGCAGAATGTCAATTGCGGACAGCCCTAACCTAAATATTTTAATTTTACTTTCTCAAGGTGTGACCTCTGATCGAAGAGCTTTTAGTTTAAAAAATATTTTTAAATTTTAATTTTAAAGTTTTTAAAGCCCAAAGCAGTTAATTTAGGGTTAATAAATTATTATAAAGCTAAAATATTAAAAATTCAAAAGCAAACATAAAAATCCAAAGCAAATCATTTTTATTAAAATATTTTTGTATATTTAATCAGGGCAATAGGACAACAAAAAAAATAAATATACAAATTTAAGAGTCCATATGAGGGAAACGAATATTTTTTATTTAGGGTAAAATTAAATGAAATTATTTAAATATTAGGAGAAGAAAGCACATTTATAAATGTGGATATAAATTTTTAAAACAAAAAAAATTATTATTTTTTTTGCTTAAAAAATTAAGGGAAATAAAATGGAAAGTCAATTAATGCAGACTGGTCACGGATAATGATTTTGGTATCCGTATCCGAATATTTACGGCGGATACAGACGGATATCCGCAGGCATTTTGGTATTATCTGTTTCCATATCCGTATCCATGACCAGGTCTGAATTAATGTCAAATATATTTATTTACTTGACATAAAAAGGGATAATGAGGAAAAAATTTAGAGAAAGGAATGACTCTTTTATCAAATTTTTGGGATTCAAAATTTATATTTTAATATTTGAAGCCTATCTCAATTTTAAAGGGTTGAGAGAATGGATTTTCATTACTTTGCAGAAAAATAATATTGTAGATTGGTTCAGGAATAGAGGCCTTGCGGTGATCTTAATCTCAATTTATAGGCGTTTTGAAAAGTTTACCCTGCTAGAAATGACTTCCAAAAAATTTCAGGTTTGGTTACAGATTTTCTTAAAAAATAATTTTTTACTAGAGACCGGACCGAGACGAGATCTTGATCGAAAAGCTCTCTTATCGGGATCGAGAATTTTTAGTAATCGCGATTCTCGTACGACACTCCCAGTCCGGTTTCTACTCAGAACTAATGATCTTTCCTTAAGGATTAACCTTGTGGTGATCTTAATATCAATTTAAGGGGGTTTGGAATGTTTACCCTGATAAAAATAACTTCCAAAAAATTTCGTTCTTGGTTACAGATTTTCTTAAAAAATAATTTTTTGGAAAACACTTTTAATTAGTTTTTATGAACACCAAATTAGTCCAGCTTATTATTAATTTAGTTAGCAAAAAATATAGCCAGTTAAAATAAAAACTATAAATTAATTAATAAAGCATTAATATTGTTAAATTTAAGCACCACAACCAAATTATCTTTTTTAAAAATATTTTTCCTTTCCCTTTTTTTAAAATAAAATTAACAATTAAATTTAGGGTTTGTCAAAAGCTTTAAAAAAATTAAATTTTTAAAGCTTCTTTTTCATCATTTTACCGCTATGCATTTCCATTCGCCGTGCTACAAATTTCAAAATTTCATCTAGCAAAATAACTGGTATAGAGAATTTTAATACGGCCATCCATTCAACAAAATTGAGAGGAGTTATTTGGAAAATTGTTGCCATAATGTCAACATAGAGAATAAGGAAGTGAAGAGACATAGACAAAGCTATAGCTGCACAAAGCCAGATATTTGTCCAAGGAGGCATTTTAAGAATTGATTGATTTTCTGAGAGACTGAAAAAAATAATTTATTAAAATGTTTTTAAAAAGAATTTTTAATTAAAACAAATCTTGGTAATCTTGCGCTTTACTGGTCCCTAGAAAAAAAATGAGGAAAAAGTGCTAGTTCGACATCTTTGAGGCATGCCAGTAGGTAATCGAGCTTGCTGAGTCCGAATCTGAGCTTAGAATTTGTTTATTTCAAACCCCGAACCCGAATTCGACCAGTCGGATTTTGGGGTAAAAATTCAAAATTTCAAATTTTATGTCTAATCGGACTCTTCTCTTTGAGCTGAGTCGATTGGTATCAAAATTTTTACGTTCCGACATCTTTAGACTAAGTTATGATGTCTGATTTATATACGGAAGTCTAACCAAACGTGTATTTAATTGATCATAACTCAGTCTAAAGTTGTCGAAACACATTAATCTTGATATCATTCGTTCAGTTTGAAGAGATGCGTCAGAATAGCGATAGCCTAATAGTTCTGAATTCTTACCCCGAATTCGATTTGGTCGAATTCGGGATTCGAAATAAGCAAATTCTAAGCTCAGATTCGGACTCAGTAAGCTCGATTACCTAATGGCATGCCTCAAAAATGTCGAACTAGCACTTTTTCCTCATTTTTTATAGGGACCAGTAAAGCGCAAGATTACCCAAATCTTGAATATTTAGATCTTACTACTTATTATAATAGTAATAGGACCGAGGAGAGATCTCAAAGAGCATAATTATAGAGCAGAGTGTGCCAGTTTCCCGTTTTGTTTTCGCTTTTTAAAATCAACTTTCTATACCCCCGCCATTATAGAAATTTTCCGAGATATCGATCTAAATCAATTCTCAAATCCGGTTTTTATTATGAACAGAGTTTGAATTATTAAATATTTAGGCTAGTAAAAAGTTCTAAAGTGTGATCTCAAAGAGCACGATTATAGAGCAGGGTAAGATTTCAGCAGGGTAAGACAAAATTATTTTTAATATTCTGGGGCTAAGAAAAAAACTAGGAATCGTTTAATTGCGATTCTAAATTTAAACAAAATTTTAGAGAAATGAAAAACAAAAAACTCGGCCCTATTTAACAATCCCCCTCTTCCTCACCTATTCACAGCATTCAACATTTCAATTGTCACCAAGACAGAAAGCGCCATAGCATTAGGATGATTATCCATAAACACAGAGCAGTCAAGGTCATCAAAGTTTTCAGGTTCAATATCACAACGCATCCAATGTGTTAATTGATAATAACTTACTTGAGGGCCATCCTCATAGATTACTTTAAAACAAAATTATTTTTCAATTTATTTTAAAAAACTTACAGAACCACCACATTGATGCAGCAACTGTGGCACATCCAACATAGGCTAAATTTAAATAAATTAATTTTAAAAATTTTTTAAAAAAATCTACTTCCAATAGCCATATAACGGAAGAAAAGCCATTTAGAAATTAATGATTCAGAGGCTGAACGTGGCTGGCGATCCATAATATCCAAATCGGGAGGATTAAAACCTAATGCTGTTGCTGGCAAACCATCAGTTACTAGGTTGACCCAAAGAAGTTGTACTGGGATTAAAGCCTCAGGAATTCCTTTAAAAATATTTAAAAATTAATTAGGAAAGGATAAAAAGGCATAAATTTAAAAAGTAGGAAAAGACTAAACCAAAATATTTAACATATTTACATAAACTTTTTTCAAAATTAACCCAAATTTGATCAGCCAAAATTAGCAAAGGATCTATGTATGCGAATAAGCTCCTCCAAAAAGACCAAAAATTTTTATTCTAGAGAGGGAGAATAAATTGAACAAGCACAGTACAAATTTTTAGTTCCCCATAAACTTGTAATCAAAGGTGGACTACCTAATAGAAGGAGGCAATATTTATCACCTCTACTATTAGAAATAGGATTTAGAGCCCGGTCCAAAAGATCGAGTTGGGCATTGAATTTTGGCCCGAAAAAGACTTGGTCGGGCCGGACGATAAAACGAGGCCCGAAGAAATGACTAGAATGCCGAAAAAATAACTGGAAAAAATGACTGGAACCCTTAATTAGAAATAAGCAAGAAACCTAATTCTCAAATCAAAGTCCAAAATTTCTTTAAAAATAAATTTTAAAAAATACCAAGCGCAGCAACCAAAAAGATTGAAACAACTTCACCAATATTTGAAGAAATTAAATATCTAATAAATTGTTTCATGTTGTTATAAATTGCACGGCCTTCCTCAACAGCAGCTACTATTGTAGCAAAATTATCATCAGCCAAAACCATTTCAGCCGCACTTTTAGCTACAGCAGTACCGGAACCCATTGCAATACCAATTTCTGCTTTTTTTAATGCAGGCGCATCGTTAACACCATCACCAGTCATTGCCGTTATTTCACCATGTGATTGGAGATATTCAACAATCTGAATGAAAAATAATTTAAAAAATTAATTGAAGAAAAATCCAGTCTTTCATACAAGGAAAACTCATAAACTGTGAGTCAAAACTTTGTAGTTTTTTGGTACCAATCGATAAAGCATCATCGATTTACTCTTGTAAATTTTCGGCTTTTTTTGCTCCGAATATAAAACTAAAAAGTTATGGAGCTTCAAGGGTTGCAAAAACGGGGAAGAAAAGGAACACAAGAGCACCATGCTACTACCGATCTGGGAAGATAAGCACCGGTGAGGAGAAAAGAAAAGGGGTAAGCAAAGTGAAACATTCATAATGGTCAGTCGCTGGAAAAAAACTTCACACAAGTAATCCACTTAAAATTCTATAAACAAAATTTAAAACCTTAGATTTATGTGCTGGCTCTACACGTGCAAAAAGTTTGGCTCTTTTACATGCTTGACTTTGCTGTTCTGGCGAGAGATCATCAAATTCTCTTCCAGTATAAGACAATCCAGTTGTATCTTCATTTTCTCCAAAAAGACCAATTCTTCGTCCAATAGCTTCTGCAGTGTTTTTATTGTCTCCAGTTATCATAATAACACGAATCCCAGCATGGAAACATTCACGAATTGAAAGAGCAACTTCTTGACGTGGAGGGTCTAACATACCAACAACTCCAACAAAAGTTATGTTACGTTCATATTCACCAAATTTAGTAGAGTCTTCCAAGTTCATACTGGACAAAAGAGAAAATTGATTTTAAAAGTGGATGGAAATATTTTCTTTAATTTATAGAATTCCTGAATATGGATCGGCTGTTTGCCCCCTTTTTCGGAAAAATTCTGCCATCGATCTCAGGTACTTTCGCAATGGATTTTACATAGGGTTTTTGGCTACCAGCTAATTTTTTGACTGTGTCGTTCGAATACTCTTATTATTTATCATTTGAGCCGCCACAGGCTCCAATTAACCAGTTGCCAAAAACCCCAATAAGGGAATTTAAAATAAAAATTGGGAGGAATAAAGACATCCCCAAGTATAAATAAAATATATACGCATTCGGTGTTGGCGGTTCATCAACTGTTCCAAGGGCCAAACAACGCAAAGTATCTTGACCAGTTCCATATTTAACACAATGTTGGACAATTTTCTGAGTCATTGCAGGGGTAAGTGGAACTTTTTGGTCACCAATTCTAACATGAGTACAACGGGAAAGAACGCCTTCGGGAGCACCCTGGCGAGAAAAAAGGATTTAAAAAATCCGCAAAAATTAAAAAAAACCTTAACAAACATCCGAGCACCAGAATTAGAAACTGTCGGAACACAAAAGACAGACATTGATTTTCTGTCACGAGAAAATTCCAAAGTAAATTCTTTTTGCCATTTTTGTTGAATTACTCGATTGCAAACATTTCCAATGTCACGAGGTGAAAGACCACCTTTCGGCGTATCATAAACATTCATTTTTTCAACAAGAACAACTAAAGCTGTTTCGGTTGCTTCTCCAACTTTTTCATAAGCATGTTTAGTCTATAAAATTTAGAAAAAATTTTTGAATGAATGGGAGCAAGGGCGTAGCCAGGGGGGCTTCTGGGGCTACAGCCTCCCCCCCTAAAATTGGGAAAGTGAAAAATTTTAGGAGGGGAATAATTAGAAAAATGAACCAACTACCCCTCCCTTTTAATAAAATAATTAAAAAAACCTCGTTATAATCAACTGAAGAATCATTACACATTGAGCAAATTGTTGCCAATTCAGTTAAAGCTTTGTGATCATCAGAGGCACAATTAATTTGAATGCCACTATGGAGAATTTGACCTTGAGGCTCGTAAGTAGATCCAGTTATAGAATATTCACTAAAAAAATTTTTTTGAAATAAAATCATAAATCAAGTATCTTCTTAAAGAATACAAGACAAATTTACACAAAATTTAGAATCGATAGTGTAAAAATACAACTTGTCAACAAGGGAAACTAAACAAAATTTGCTCAAGTTTTCCCATTCCTACTCCAAGGCGCTCCAAGTCAGACGATGAAAATTAACAGAACCTCAACCTATTAACTAATAAAGTTGCTCAGAACATGCAAAGTACTTTGAAACCCTTTCACTTTAATTGTTATACCCTCAAACATTTTCTCATTTATTTTCCTTGTGTTGAAAGAAAGGAACTCAAACTACCAATTTTGCATGCTTCGCACAACCCTCATCAAAACTTTCAAAGCAAACCTGAAGCTAATTTGATCTCCACGCGCTCCCTCAACAATAAACATTTTCGACACCGACATTTGATTTGTTGTCAAAGTTCCAGTTTTATCAGAACAAATGACCGATGTGCAACCCAAAGTTTCGACTGAAGGAAGCGAACGAACAATTGCGTTCTTTTTAGCCATTCTACGAGTTCCTAAAGCTAGACAGGTTGTAATTACTGCTGGGAGGCCTTCAGGGATAGCCGCAACGGCGAGTGCAACGGCAATTTTGAAGTAATAAATTGCTCCTTTTAACCAAGAACCACCATGTGCCGGGTCATTGAAATGTCCAATATTGATAGCCCAGACAGCAATACAAATTATTGAAATGACCTTTAAATTGAAAAAATTTTTTTGAGTATAATTAAACAATAAAAAAATGTTTAAAGAAAAACTCAAGCAAACTTAATCGAAAGACCCTCCCCTCAAAAAATATTAAAAATTAGGAATGATAGTGGGAAAGCCTGCAATTAGTGGGAAAGCCTGCAATTTATGATTTAACAGCAAAAAACAGATCAAGTCTACGTTCATGCCCCTAATTACAGAAATTAAAATGTTAAACGTAAATCCAGAGAAAATAGTAGTATTCAATCTACATCCTTATAAAATCTACTGACAAACCTTAGAAAGTTGTTCCCCAAATTCATCCAACTTTTGCTGTAAAGGAGTCTTATCAGATTCCGTCTCAGTTATTTCTGTCCTAATTTTGCCAATTTCTGTATTCAAACCAGTTCCAAAAACAATTCCACGAGCTTTACCAGAAGCAACGTTTGTACCCTAAAATTGAATTTTTTTGTTTTAAATTTTAAAAATTCAAACCGAAAACAGGCAATTTTTCTTGTCCTGATTTACAGCTCTCGGGTCAGGTACAGTGTCCAAATTTTTAATAACAGAAACAGATTCTCCAGTAAGAATAGATTGGTCAATTCTGATTGTTGTAGAATAAATTTTGACGAGGCGAAGGTCTGCTGGGATTTTGTCACCAACTGGAAATTTTTTTTGAAAAATATCAAACAACCCCGGTTATCCCAATAAAAAATCAAAAAAAATAAAAACCTGAAACTTCAACAACATCCCCAGGAACAAGTTCTTTAGCTCGAATCATTTGAATTCCATGCTTTCCAGAACGAATTACTTTAGCCATTTCGGGTTCGTATTCTTTAAGTGCTTCAATTGCACTTTCAGCATTCCTTTCCTTAAAAAATAAAATTGTGAAAAATATAAAATGAAGAGATTCTTAAGAATATTTCTTAAGAAAAAATGGACAACTTTCAAAAATAAAGTCTGAAAAATGGGAAAATTGGAAGAACATAAAAATAAATCGAAATTAGAAAAAATTTCAGTCTTAAAAATTCAAAAGTTGTAATTAATCTTACAAGTAGGAACTATTAAAAGAAGGAATAAAAATCTAAAAAAATTCGATAAAAACGAGAATCTGATTTGTTCAACAGTCTACACCCTCCCTGACAAATAGAGTTCGGACTGGAACTGAATTCCTATCATAAGTTGAGATTAAGTTTACAGGTAGGAATAATTAAAGGAGAGAATAAGAATCTAAAAAAATTCGAGAAAACCGAGAATTGGACTTGTCCAACAGCCAACATCGCCCTAACAAATAGAGATTGACTGGAACTGAATCCAGACCACCTTGATCCAGCTCAAAATCCACTCTTGGATAGAGTCAAGATCAGGGCATTTTCAGTGTTCCACGATTCTTCCTTGACTCAAGGCTAAGAATCCGATCAAAATCCCCACTTAAAGGTTCTAACCCAGAAAAGGCTTCTTAAAATCCCCGATCTCAACTAACAAACAAAAAAACGTAAAAAATCAACCTGCCAAACCCCAACAGTTGCATTTGCAATCAAAATGAGAAGAATAACAAAAGGTTCCACAAAAGCAGTAACAGCACTAGTTTGGTCATCATGTTCTTCAAATAAAGCGAGGACCTGAATTTTTTAAATATTTCCCCGGAAAAGTACAAAAAAATACAAATGAAATTATTGCGGCGAGTAAAAGAATTTTAACAAGGAGATCATCAAATTGTTCAAGAATTAGCTCCCAGAGCTTTTTCCCCTCCTCTGCTGGCATTTCTAAAAAGAAATTTTTAAGGAAAAAAATATCAGAGTTGAAAAAGGAATGGGGAACCTAACTTATACTCGAAAAAATATTTTGGGAAACCGATGTGGGGAGAGGAGTTACAGAAAGGAATGGTATTTCATGTGAACAAGGCCTTATAAGGCTGCTAAATTTATTACATATTCAATCCTCCTCCATATCCACTAAAAATATCAGAGCATAAAAAGGAATGGGAAACTTATCTAGAAGTCAAAAATTGTTTTGGAAAACCAAAGGGGGAGGGGGGGCAGAAGGGTTGCAGATTGTGACTGCAGGAATTTTTTCGGTAATATTGAACCTGACAGAACCCATTTCTTCCTCCCCAAGTTTTCCTATATATTTGCAGAATGTCAAGACTTCTTCCCTTCTTCCATCCCAATTTTCCTTTCCATCCAAGGGGGAATAAAAATTAATTTCTTTTGATTGTCTATAGAAGGCAATTGGAATGAAAAAAAGGAAAAAGTCTGACCATTTTGTAGATATATAGGAAAAAATTGGAGAGGAAAAAAAATAGGGTCTGTCAGGTTCAATATTACCATTTTTTCAATTGCATCCACTCCTGGCCCACAAAGTTTCCAGATTCAAGTTAAAAACCCAAAAAAAACCAAAATCCCTCTCTTTAACAAAAATCAAACCATTATATCCATATTTATCCCTCAACTCCTCCACTTGATTTTCAGAAAGTCCATCAGGTCCAGTGCCAAAAAATTGAAACAATTCTTCAGAAGTCTTGGCATGAGCGTTCTCCATTCGCTAGCTAATTTTAAATAAAGCCAATTTTAAATTAAAGAAGTCTTTGTTGTTTTCTAATAAGAAAATTAATTTAAAAAATATATGTAGAATAAACTGAAAAAAATGAAAAAAAATTTTAAGAAAAAAATTAATTTTTTGGAGAGAAAAAAATTTGCGCCATGGCGTTATGGCGTGTTTTATTGTTAGGAATTAATTTTTGGCGTTTGGTGCGCCACGCGAAGATTTTTTGGAAAGAAAAAAAATTTTTAAATTAAGGCGACAACGAATATACCTAGACTACAAAGATCAGTCAGATTCAGAATCCTGACTTTTGAGCCATTTCCGATCACATACACCTCCGTCACTTCCGACTAAGGCTGTGCGCCATGGCGTTATGGCGTGTTTTAAGAATTAATTTTTGGCGTTTGGGGAGTTACGCGAAAATTTTGGCGCACAGCATAGACTCCGACCTACCCTTAAGGAGATACATAATGAGATTAAAAAAATTTTAGAGAAAAACTTTTAAAATTTCGCTATCGGAAAAAATAAATGAAGAATTTAAAGGCTAAATAACGAAATAAATTGGTTGGACAGTCAATGGCCATTTTTTCCATTGAATTTTCCTAGGCGTCTTGCATGGAAACAATAAATTCCCACAATTTTGCTAGGAAACTTGAAACTATTATTTGCAGAAAATTTCAACTAAAAAGTTAGACATAAAAGGAAACATTGCAGAAAATAAATCGTGTCCCTACAAAGGATCGTCACATAAAAGGATCGCCACGGCTAAAAACGTTCAAAGGATCGTAACGTCTAAAAACGTTTAAAGGATCGTCACGGTCAAAAAGTATTAAACGGTCGCTCATCAAAGGATCGTCCATCAAAGGATCGCCACGGGTAAAAAATTCAAAGGATCGTTTTTGAGTCCCCACCCAAAAGAAGACGTTTGAGTCCCATATTTTTTAGAGATTTTTTTCGTTTTTTTTGCTTAGGGTCCATTTTCTTCATATTTTTCAACTAATTTTTTATCAGCTGAATGCAGACCAGCTCATGGATATCCGGATATCAACGGATATATCCGGATACGGACGGATATGGATAATGTTATTTGATGGATACGGATGAGCACGGATATGATACTCCAAATCCGCGGATATCCATCTCGAAATTTTGCCTGTGATGCAAAAATTAATAATCACTTTAATCCTTTCAAATCCCCCGATATCCCTCTAATCACCATTATCAGACTGGCACATCACTGCAACCAAACTGATGGCACTGAACTGACTTTATGAAATTTTTTAAAAAATGACGACCCTTTGAACGTTTTTACGCGTGACGATCCTTTGATGGACGATCCTTTAATGAACGGCCCTTTAATACTGGGAGAATGTGGACAAGCGTCCACATTCTCCCAGTTTAAACAACTTGGGTAATCAATTTTCACCATCACAAGCACCTTCGGCCAAGCGCCAACAATTACTCGACACAATTTCAAATTTAAATTTCAATGATTTACTTACTCCCCCTTCTGACCCATTAATTCCCGATTTTGCTAAAACAATTATTAGTCAACAGCAACAGATAATTAAACAACTATCTGGTTTGTTGCAAGTCGCTTCGGAAATTTTGACTGATCAAACAACAAATAATATTGATTTTTCTTCTGCTTTTGAGCAGCGACAACGTGAACATTTATTAGTACTTACTGGCCTTCCAGAAAGTACTGAGACTCAACCTATGGCAAGGGCTGAAAGTGATAGCAAAGTTGTTCGACAAATTTTAAATGAACTACAAATCGATCGCTGTCTTCCCTCGGCTGTTTTCCGCCTTGGTAAACAACGACAACCAGGCTCTAAGCCTAGACCACTTAAAATTCTTTTTCCATGTTCAGCAGCGGTAACCGAGGCCCTTCGAAATAAGAAAAAACTGGTTGGTAAATTTAAAAACATTGTGGTTCGTAAGAGTTTGACTAAGCAAGAACTAGATGAGCGTAGTAAATTGATTGAGTTGTGTAAACAAAAACGTGAATCCACTAATCTTGATTATATAATATATGCCGGTACTGTACTTTTAAGGAGTGAAATCCCTAAATTTAAACAAACTCTAAACACTAATATATCAAATTTTCAATCCAATTAGGGATTTCTCCATTTGACCAGTGCCATACACAAACAGTCACTACTAGTAATCGAGTCTCATGTAATTTATCTGTAAAATCTCCAAATATAAGAAATATGGCCTCGCAACCTTATATCTCATCCGTTAAACTCTTTAAAAATTTAACATGTTTATACTACAATTGTCGATCTGTTCGTAATAAAATCAATGAACTAGACATTCAAATAGTAGATTATAATCCAGACCTTGTTTTATTAACTGAAACCTGGCTTGAAGAAAATGATGCCCATCTTAATCAACTAAATTCGTCTAGGAATTTCCATATTCTTATAGATAATCGTGACATTAAATTTAAATGTAAAGGTGGTGGTGTTGCAATGCTCATACGTAAGGGAATCTCTTATAAACAATTGTCCATTAAAAATATTGTAGGTATCGAGATAATTGCTGTAGATCTTTCTATACATTCTATTAAGGCTAGCATTAGACTTATTTTAGTATATAGACCACCAGCAATTACTAGCTCACTTACTATTAAACTTTTAAAAATCCTTCAAAATCTCTGCGAAGGAAATGTTATTATTGTAGGCGATTTTAATTTTAACGCTAATAATATTAACTGGAATGATAATACCGCCTTTACAAAATGTGCTAAAGAATTTCTTGAATTTACCAATAACTTTAATCTTAATAATGTCATTACATCACCCACTCACAATAAAGGTTCTATACTAGACCTGCTACTCACGAATAATCCTAATTCTATCTGTTCTTGCCATGTTAGTGCAGGTTTATCTACTTCAGACCACTTTTCTATTCTTTTTACCCTTAACATGGCTAAACCCAACCCTCAAAAAATCTGCTTTAGGGATTATACTAATGTAAAACAATTAAATTCTTACTTAATCTCTCATTTTAATTGTATATATGAAAAATTCTATATATCAGATAAATACGAATACTTACTTGAACTTGTCTCAACTCTCATGGAAAAATATACTCCCTTACGCACAATAACCGTAAAACAAAAATCGTTTAATTATCCTTCACATATTAGGAAACTCATCAAATATAAGAAAAAACTATTTACAGAGTTTAAAAAATCAGATTGTGGCCTAGAAGAATATATTAATGTTTCCAAAACAATTAAACATCTTGTTAACTCTTACAAATCACAAAGAATTAAATCAATAGTAAGTAACCGTAAAAACATGACCAAATATATGAAAAACCTGACTCAGAAATATTCTCCTATATCATGTTTAGAGCATAACAATACTTTTATTTTCGATGATCAGGCCAAATGTAATTTATTTTCTTCTGTTTTTGCAAATTCTTTTTCTAATCTCCCTAGATTTGATCCTCCTAAATTAAGCCCATGTAACTTCATAAATGCCCTTGAAGATATCGAATTTAGTCTATTAGATATCGATAATATATTAAAGAATTTACCTAACAATAACTGCTGTTCTGAGGATGGTATAAGCTATACCTTGCTAAAAAATTGCCATTCGTCTATTACACCTTTCCTATCTGATATTTTTAGATTGTCATTGGATTCAGGAATTCTACCTCATTCTTGGAAAGTCTCACATATCACACCTGTTTTTAAGAAAGGGGATAAAACTATTGCAGCAAACTATAGACCCATTTCTATTACATCGGCTATATGTAGAGTGCTAGAACGTATCATACTTAACAGTTTACTGACCCATTTAGAAGAAAACAAAATTATTAGTGAAAGCCAATTTGGATTCTTAAAAAAGCGTTCTACAACTACCCAACTAATATTTACATTCTCTCACTGGTATAGAGCTATACTTGAAAATAAAAATGTAGACTGCGTATATATTGATCTTAAGCATGCCTTCGACTCTGTCCCCGTCAAATTCTTGATTTATAAATTATTTAACATAGGAGTTAGGGGGAAATTACTTAACTGGATCTCATCATTTCTAACAGATCGTACAGCCAAAGTAAAAATTAACACAACATTTTCTACATCTTTTAAAATATATTCTGGCGTTCCCCAAGGATCTATCTTAGGACCCATTTTATTCTTAATATATATAAATGATTTAACCTTCTATATTCCCAATAATGTTAGTAAATGTTTATTTGCTGATGATCTTAAGATTTTTCAAGTATTTAAAAATTCAGAAAATACTAATTCACTACAAAATGCCTTAAATATAATTTCTCAATGGAGTTCCGATTGGGCACTCGAAATATCTACGCAAAAAACATTTGTTCTAAATATTGGCTCCAAAAATCCTAAATATACATATACACTCAATGGTGACATTTTACAAATAACATCTGTAATAAAAGACCTTGGCATTACCCTTACCAATGACCTTTCCTTCGATTTACACTATAATATTATTATCAGGAAAGCCTATGCCAGAGCTTCTTCAGTTCTTAATAGCATACACACTAGCAATCCTAAGGTATGGGCTCTTGCCTTTAAATCCTACGTTAGGCCATTACTAGAATATGCCACAGTTATCTGGAGTCCAAAAACTAAGTATCTCGTGGAAAAAATCGAAAAAATCCAAAAATGGTATACTAGGATCGCTTTATCTAAGTGTAAGATTACCTATAAAAGTTACTCTCAAAGATTAATTCTCTTCGATCTCGAATCATTAGCATTAAGACGCTCATTATATGATCTATCAACTATTTATAGGATTATCTTTAAATTTACACATTTAAGCTTTAACGATTTATTTGAGCTCAACGATAGACCTAGTCGAAATAGACACAAGTTTCAAATTAAGGTCCACCGAAAAAACAGTAAAACCGAACATTGGCTCATAAACAGAGCTGTAAACCTTTGGAATACAATACCTGCTTCAATTATAAACTCACCAAACCCAAAGATTTTTTGGATTGCGCTCAGGTCATATTTAATAAATTTGGAGAGCTCAAACACTTGTTTTGTATACTACTAGCTAAAAATCCATAAAACCTTACTAATTTTGACTGTTTGTGTTGGCATACCATAACTGTTCATTTGACGTTTATATTTTGACATTTTCCTTTTAGAAATATATATTTTGTATTTTACATTTTGACATTTCCCTTTTAAAAATATATATTTTGTATTTTACATTTTGACCTTTTCATAATTTAGTAATATCTCCACTTGTTTTTTCCCTCCCTCATTTTTTGCATTCACTGCATTAATGTATAAGTTTTTTTAATACTTTATAAGCATTTTTAAAACACATTGAGAAACAATTGGATTTATTATTTTTTTCTAATATTTATATAACTCAAATTTTAAGATTTGCAATTTAAAGCACCTGTGCATTTCAATTTTTCTTAAAAATGTCTACAACAAACAAGCGTCCACATTCTCCCAGATTAAACAACTTGGGTAATCAACTCATATAAACTTCCTTACAGTCTGTGGACACTCTTTGTTTTATACACTATTGTGACTTGTATTTTTTTACTTTTTGTTTTATTTTTATCATTTTTATATGCTTTGTTTTACAATTGTTTCACAATTTTTATCTGAATGTTAGTGACCTTCTTATAAGGTCCTTTTCAGTGAATAAATAAATTAAAAAAAAAATTAAACTCCTCCACTTGATTTTCAGAAAGTCCATCAGGTCCAGTGCCAAAAAATTGAAACAATTCTTCAGAAGTCTTGGCATGAGCGTTCTCCATTCGCTAGCTAATTTTAAATAAAGCCAATTTTAAATTAAAGAAGTCTTTGTTGTTTTCTAATAAGAAAATTAATTTAAAAAATATATGTAGAATAAACTGAAAAAAATGAAAAAAAATTTTAAGAAAAAAATTAATTTTTTGGAGAGAAAAAAATTTGCGCCATGGCGTTATGGCGTGTTTTATTGTTAGGAATTAATTTTTGGCGTTTGGTGCGCCACGCGAAGATTTTTTGGAAAGAAAAAAAATTTTTAAATTAAGGCGACAACGAATATACCTAGACTACAAAGATCAGTCAGATTCAGAATCCTGACTTTTGAGCCATTTCCGATCACATACACCTCCGTCACTTCCGACTAAGGCTGTGCGCCATGGCGTTATGGCGTGTTTTAAGAATTAATTTTTGGCGTTTGGGGAGTTACGCGAAAATTTTGGCGCACAGCATAGACTCCGACCTACCCTTAAGGAGATACATAATGAGATTAAAAAAATTTTAGAGAAAAACTTTTAAAATTTCGCTATCGGAAAAAATAAATGAAGAATTTAAAGGCTAAATAACGAAATAAATTGGTTGGACAGTCAATGGCCATTTTTTCCATTGAATTTTCCTAGGCGTCTTGCATGGAAACAATAAATTCCCACAATTTTGCTAGGAAACTTGAAACTATTATTTGCAGAAAATTTCAACTAAAAAGTTAGACATAAAAGGAAACATTGCAGAAAATAAATCGTGTCCCTACAAAGGATCGTCACATAAAAGGATCGCCACGGCTAAAAACGTTCAAAGGATCGTAACGTCTAAAAACGTTTAAAGGATCGTCACGGTCAAAAAGTATTAAACGGTCGCTCATCAAAGGATCGTCCATCAAAGGATCGCCACGGGTAAAAAATTCAAAGGATCGTTTTTGAGTCCCCACCCAAAAGAAGACGTTTGAGTCCCATATTTTTTAGAGATTTTTTTCGTTTTTTTTGCTTAGGGTCCATTTTCTTCATATTTTTCAACTAATTTTTTATCAGCTGAATGCAGACCAGCTCATGGATATCCGGATATCAACGGATATATCCGGATACGGACGGATATGGATAATGTTATTTGATGGATACGGATGAGCACGGATATGATACTCCAAATCCGCGGATATCCATCTCGAAATTTTGCCTGTGATGCAAAAATTAATAATCACTTTAATCCTTTCAAATCCCCCGATATCCCTCTAATCACCATTATCAGACTGGCACATCACTGCAACCAAACTGATGGCACTGAACTGACTTTATGAAATTTTTTAAAAAATGACGACCCTTTGAACGTTTTTACGCGTGACGATCCTTTGATGGACGATCCTTTAATGAACGGCCCTTTAATACTTTTTGCCCGTGACGATCCTTTAACAGGACGACCCTTTAAAAAACGATCCTTTGTATAGGAGCCAAATAAATTGAATGTCTCGTCATCATTCTGCTAAAATTTTAGAAAATTAAAAATTTTTAGAAAATATCGCTTTGAAATTTTTTTAGTGAAAAATATTTAAATTTTAAGGGACTTTTTGGTGCAAGAGAAATATTGGCGTTTGGGTCGTTTGAGTGCCGAGATTTCGTAAAAAAATTGACCGTAACCGAGACCTATTTTCTTTAAAAATTTCTCAAATTTCTTTAATATCTCCCTCAACCAAGAGATGTTTCGCGAATTTTTTATCAAATATTTTTAAACCTAAAATTATCATTTTTAGGTAAATTGACCTTTACTCTATAAAATGCATTTCCAAAAATTCTTAAACTTTTAGAGAGGGTTTATATTAGCTAAACTTCTTAGAGTTGTTTTTACTTTTATCATTCTATCCGATTAATTCATCATAATTTGATCTCCTATAACCTTTGAATTTATCAGTCTTTTAATATTTTTTTTTGATAGGCTGAAAGACAGGCTAATTAATAGGGACTTCCAAGACTCTTGGTCTTGGGGTCTAGTCTTAGTCTTGAGTCTAGGAAAATTTTTGGTCCCTTGGTCTTGAGTCTTCTTAAACTTTTCCTCGGAGGTTTTCAGTCTTGGGCTTGGTCTCGGGTCTTGGCTTGGTTCTTGTGCTTGCTGTCAATTCTTGGTCTTGAGTCTAGGAAAATTTTTGGTCTTGGAAGTCTCCACTAATTAAATTTATAAAAAATTTTAAAATTGGGAAAAGTCTCAGAAATTTTATTTTTGATTAAGAGAGAGAAAATATTCTAATAATATTTTAAAAAATTTAATTTGGATATCTTCAAATGCACGCATTTTAGTGTTATTTAAACTGCAAAAAGTTTGTCTAGTCTCTACGCCCTTATTCCACTTGAAAAATAATTTTTAGAAAATTTTTTTTTCTAAAAATATAAACCTCATAAATTCTTTAAATAAATAACAAAAAATAAATAAAAATAATTTTTTGCATTGTTTTTAAAATTTAGCAAAAACCGGAAACTGAGGGGCAGATTAAATGTATTCTATGCAGATAAAAATTTCGAACCAGACAATTTTCGAATGAATTTTCTTCAAGAATACCCTAAAATACCTCTTAAATTGTCATCTAAAATTCCAGAAATTTGATTTCTTTTAAGAATTACCGCATTTTCTCGATTAGTTCCCTTCCCTGCTATAATTCCCCTCCCTCGATTAATTCCCCATGCCAAGGAAGGGTTGAAAAAATAATTCCCCAGAGAATTAATCGAGAAAATACGGTATGTAAAATGGTTTAAATTATTCGAAAATTTTTAAGTTATTTCTTGAAATGTTTGGCTGGGAAAAGTTCAACAATAAAAAAATTCTGAGATATACTATTGAAATAACTATGCCTTAATATGGATTTGGGCAGATCAACGTTGAATTTTGTAGTACACAAAGAAGGAATATAGAAAAATATCCAAACCCATCGCAAGGTTTAAGCACTCTTGGTGTCTCAGTCTGGACTTTTTCGCTGAGGTCCTATTCTTGTCCCATTTAATGAAATTTTCAACGGCACAAACATAATAATTTTTAACTAAGAGAACCACAATTATGACAGGACCCTCGACTTACCTATATCTTTCTTCAACTTAAACGAACCCCGGACGCTCTTATAATGTTAAATTCATCTCGATTAGTGCCAGGATACAGGGTATCCGGATTCAATAAATTTTGAGCAAGGTCACACGTACGTAGGCTAGCGGTAAATTGTCCTATCTCCCGTTCCGATTTATTAGAAAATATTTTTAAAATAATTTTAAAGTTTTAAAACAGTTAAATCCAAAAAATATTTATTCCCAACAAATATTACTTAAAGTAAAAAGCAGTTGTGCATGATTTAAAATAAAGAAGATCAGTCAATAACATATGTGAATGTTAGTTAAAAGTTTATATCCCTCAAAAACCGCGCTTTTTATATTTATCAAAAAAGGCTTAAAGTTGGTGAGTGAAAAAATGGGAGGAAAAAAATTAAGAAAATGGTGTTTTCGTTTATTATTAACAGTAGAATCTCCTTACAAGGAAAGGTTGCGAGGTGTCCGACCTAAAAACGGTTGAGACCGGGATCATTCGAAAGAGAACGTGGCCTTTATAGAAGGATTTTGTGCCGTTTTTGCCCGTTTTTTGATCTGGCCTAGGAACTAGAAAGGCCACAATTCTCTATCGAATGAGCCCCGTACCAGGGCTGGGCGAAATCTAAAGATAAAAAGCGAAATGCGAAACGCGCCAAAAAATGCGAGAATGCGAAAGATGCGAAACGCGAAATTGCGAAATTTGTTCAGAAAAATCTAAAAATAAAAAGCGAAATGCGAAAGTGCGAAATAAGCCCACCCCTGCCCGGTCTCGACCGTTTTTAGGTCGACACCTCGCAACCTTTCCTGGTTAACATGACACCCTTTGGGTTCAAATTGAAATTAGGGATATGGCAAGGGACGGGATCACAACTGGATTTTCGGGGTTTTCAACGGGACCCCTTAACACGACACCCTTCGGTTTCGAATTGAAATTAGGGATACTGCAAGAGACGGGATCACGCCGGGATTTTAAGGATTTTCAGCCGGATCTTCGGGATGTCAAAAACAAATTATAGGAAAAAATTAAACGATTTTTTATTGCATTGGGCAAAAATTTTGTTTAAAAAAATAAAGGGAGAGAAAATTTGGGGGAGGAAAGAAGAATTGCTCGAGAAAATCACTTACACTCTCCTCTATTTAATATCCCTTTCTACTTTAAAAGCAAAAGAAAATCGTTAAAAAAATAAAAATGAACAAAAGTGTGTGGTAATCAAAAATCTGCTAAATCCTTTTACTAAAAGG